CAGGTTGGAAAAATTATTGGCACTGTGGTGTTCGTGCTGCTGGTTCTAAATTATTGGCTTTTATTGCAGCAATTCCTGCTCTTATACGAATTTATGATAAAACAATTCAAATGGTTGAAATTAATTTTTTATGTGTGCATAAAAAGTTGCGTTCGAAAAGATTGGCACCTGTGTTAATCAGGGAAATCACACGAAGAGTTAACTTAAGTGGTATATTTCAAGCTACTTTTACTGCAGGAATTATCATTCCAAAACCGGTTGGTTCATGCAGGTTTGTTCAAAATATTATTTTGATTATTAAATTCTCTAAAAATATTCTTAGGTATTGGCATAGATCTTTAAACCCAAAAAAATTGATCGAGACAAAATTTTCGCATCTTGGGAAGAATATGACGCTTCATCGTACTATTAAACTTTATCGACTTCCAGAGGTAACCCTTTCTAAAAGAATACTTAAAAAATTATTTTTAGAACACACATTATCCGCTCAGACCCTTAGCTAAAGAGTATATACAAAGCGCTTTCGATTTGCTCACAAACTATTTGACGAAATTTGATATTTGTCCAATTTTCAGTCTGGAGGAGTTTGAACATTTTTTCATGCCGAGGGAAGACGTAATTTATTCTTATGTGATCGAGGTTTTTTTGTATTTTTAAATCTCAATTAGACTTTAATTCCTAGAACAATGGTCAAGTAACAGATTTCATTAGCTTTTATTGTCTTCCCTCTACAATTGTTCACAACCCACTACACAAGGAAATTAGGGCCGCCTATTCTTTTTACAACGTCGCTGGATCTGTTCCGCTAAATAAACTGATAAATGATGCTCTCATAATTGCCAAAAATGTAATTTAATTAATTTAATTTTAAACTTTATTAAAAAAGATGGGGTTTGATGTTTATAATGCTCTTGATTTGATGGAGAATCAAAGTTTTCTTGAAGAATTGAAATTTGGAATTGGTGATGGTAATTTGCAATACTACTTATACAATTGGAAATGCCCAGATATTGCACCTGCGCGAATAGTAAGCTCTAAAAATTTATAAAAGAAAAAAACATTTTTCAGGGTCTAGTCTTACAATGACACTAAAGAAAATGGGCGAAATATTTTAAAGTTTTTTTTTTCAAAAATGTTGATCTTCTATTTTGGTTATATTTTAAATCGTTTTAATTAATCTTAACGAGTAAAAAAATGTTTTGTAACATTATAGTTTTATTTTGGGAGATATAAAATACCGAAATGTTGGTGTCGAACAAGTACCATTTACAACATTAAACATGTAAATTATTTAAAAAAGCATTAAGCAAATCACACGCTCTCATCTAACCTTTGTTAATCATCCATACATATAAATTCCTTCTCATTGTCTTCTGTCTCTTCATCAAAATCTTGTTCTTCTTCTTCATTTTCGTCATCAAGCATATCTTTAAAGAATTCAGCAACTTTAGTCAACCTTTGTTTCTTTTCTGCCTTTTCATTCTCTTTAAATTTATGCATATCCTGTGCACGTAAATATGGAACATCTCTCACTAAATCTTCCAATTTGAAAGCGTTCAATTTTGTTCCATCTGCAGTTGTCACCAAGAGAAATGAAAGATCGGAAGATTTTACCATTAAACCCTTTAAATAGATGTTTCAATTGTATTCAAGAAGTAATCGACGTAAAGATATGGTATAAACCAGTTGGTTTAAGTATATTTACTAAGATTTCTTCAGTATTTTTTAAAGGGTTAAGTACTATATCTTCATTAAATGTACGTCGATTATTCGTCGATTGCATTCAAAACGTTTTTAAATCACTCACAATTCCATCAGGATAGCAAATTCCGCCAAGTGATTTATTTGGATTGACATGCATAAACCTAAATGATTGAATAATTAATAAAATCTAGATTAGAAACCTCATTCCATCATGAGTTGAAGCTCCGGCCAAAAGTAGGTCATCTCTCACTGTTTCTAATTGTTCAACCCCCATAATTAAAGGAGTTTCAATTCTCTCAACAATATTACCAAATTCACCATTATTGAAGACTTCAATATATCCATCAGCTGCACCAACGTAGGTAAATCTGTACAACAAGGAAAATTAAAATAAGTTGATTTCTAATTACAAACCTTTTGGTAACAGCCAAAGAAAGTAATTCGCTGTGCATAGTCTCTGAGCAAAGCCTGAGCTTTCTTTTGTATATGTCATAAGCAGCAAGAGTACCATCTCCACTAGCAGATAAAAGACAGTTTTTCCATGTAGAGAAACTATCTGAATGAATATGAAAAAAAGAAAAATGAAAGTTTAGACTTATTATATCATCCTGATCAGTAAATGCAGCAATTTGAGGTTTAGTTAGTCGAAAGTCCCACATTTTCACCTTAAAGCTACTTATTAAAAGATGCAAAAAATTTAGAAAATTTTCTAGGGTGTCTACAAGCCTTATAACGTAAAATAAAATTCAAAAACATGCCTCACCATTTTCAGCACCAGTTGCGAAATGTAATTTGTCACCCATTGAAGGATTTAACAATGAAATCTCATTTGGTCTGCTTTTATGGCTTTGTCGAATACATCGTATGCGTTTACCAGTATCAGTATCAAACATGCAAAGTGCTCTAAAAAATTTTTAATGTTAGCTCATAAATAAAATTAAAAAAAACCTATTTGAAGCAGTAACAAAAACAAAAGAACCATCTGTAGAAAATGTAATAGCTCTTATAGCCATTTTTAACTTTCTCCTCCATTTTTGTTCAATTCTAACTGGAAGCGATTCATTTTTGTCTGGATCATTCAAAATTGTTAAATTATTGTAAGTAATTCCACCATCCAAAAATCCTAAGCATATTTTATCAGATTGACTAGGGTGAATAGCAATTGATGAGATAGGAGTTTGAACTTCCAAAGTTTGAATTTTTGTGCACATTCAACTGAAAAAACTAGAAAAAATTTGTAAGAACCAGCTATCTTCAAAAATGACAATCCTCCATTTGCCATTTTGACCAAAGGCTTTTTGGTATTTTCCAATTTGAAATTATGATTTGCAAAATTCCTACTTCGGTAAATTTCACTTTGCCAATTCCGTAATTCGACACTCGGCCAGTGCGTCAATACGCCTTCAATGGACAAATTTGCTGATCAAAATAAAATCCTCAATTTTAAATCCTGCGGCTTTTGTCCGACTGATAAACTTGAGAAGGATCTTTATAAATGTCCGAATTGTCAAAAATTTTATTGTTCTGTTCGTTGTTACCGAAGCAAGAAACATTTGGAATGTTCTGAATTATTTTTTAAAATGCAGTGTGAAGAATTAACGGTAATTTTGAATTTTTTCTAATAATATTCATGAGTTTCTTTAGGAAAATTCTGCAGAAGAAAAGTCGACTTCTTCAATTAATAGACCTGTTACTACTTTTGAACAGTATATGGATAAACAAAATCGTGAAAAATCAGAATTGGATGAAAAGCTGATAAATCCGGAGATCCCACTAGAAATCAGGTATACTTTTTTATTGCTGAGCCTTAAATTCAATTCCCTATTTTTCCTATTTTAAGCCCCGATGAACAATTGCTTTTCGATTCGGATGATGAACCTGAATATCTCAGCGATGTTGTTGAATCTTCTATGAGGCAATTTGAGACAATTGACGATGAAGAATTGGACAGAAATTTACTAGCTGCTGGGCTACCAATTGTGCTAGAAAGGGGATCAGAAGAAGAAACACAAGAACAGTTAGAAAAACTTTTTAAAAGCCTGGATGATGATGAGAAAAAGAAATTTACACAAATGGCAGAAGGACTTTTTGAAAAAGATTTTCTTGCTTATACAAATTGTTTTCGTAAGAAAAAATCTAAATAAATTTCATTTTAAACTTTTTATTAATTTTCAATCGTTTTTATAACATACCCTAATAAGTATATCTATTTTTGTCTCTAGAAAATATAAATTTAAAATTCAGAACTACCTTTCCAGAATGCATCAACTCTTGTTTAGGCCATTTTTGTGTAAGCGTTTTGTCAGACATGCCATGACTTCAACTGCTTCCAGACGAGCTATTCCATCTAGAGACAGTCAATCAAGGAAAGTCATCGAGCCTGAAGCTTACATGGTTAAAGAGAAGAGAGATTTTGTTGTCCAAAACATAAAACGCGTTGTTTCCGATCAGACTCGAAAACTTTTTGCCGTCATCTATATACAAAATGTTAGTTTATTTTATTTAAATGAATTAATTTTTAAACCTTAGAAGCAATTCAAAGTCATGCAAGACGATTTGATCCACATAGAAAGCAACATTCCAGTAGATGTTGGAGATGAAATCAAGTTCGAAAAGGTACATTAATCCCATTATAATCTGATCAAAGTTTTCAGATACTATCGGTTGGAGGGCTCGATTTTTCCTTATTTGGCAGGCCATTATTAGACCCCAAATTCGTACATGTACACGCAACTGTTATTGAAAAGGTGGGCTAACCTAAAAAGAATATAATTATTCCCTAATTATCAGACAACCACATCACCTGAAATTATCTACAACTTCAATACCATGTACATCCACAACCCGTTATGTAAGACAAAAATATTTAAAGAATTATTTTTTATTTTAGGGTTGAGTCAAGAACTTAATGTAATCCGAATTAATAATATAAATGTTGAAGAGGCTGCTTTTGAAATGGAATGAAAATTTCTTTTTGATATGTTTATCTTTGATAAATTTTTATAAACTTATCACAATTAACAGATCGTAATTATCCCACTGTTGACAGTAAGGTTAAGACACTGTCCTGGGCTAATGCCCAACAATGTTTCAATCGACGAGCAACCTGGGATAATTTACCGAATATTTGTCGAGCGTCAAGCAATTTCTTAAGAATGTCACCGAAATTTAACATTTATTTTATTTGGTTAATATTAAACAAGGTACGAGAAAAATCAAAAAAACCTATTTCTGTAAACATGTTAGAAAGATGAGAACACAGTTATAATATTTAAATTTATATATATATCTCGTTACTACTTTGTCTCGGTCGTTGTCTGCAATACGGAAGCATTGAACGAATTAGCGGCGAGTTGGTTATGATGAAAATTTTCAGTCTCGTGAAATATCAATTCTTTAAGCTTCTCGCGTGGAAGATCGTCAAATTCCATTTCAAATGTGAATGGCTCTTCACATGACGGCTAAAATTATTTTGAAATGAGAATTTTACAAACCCCGTTCCCTTTCTCTCAAACCTCGTCATTTGGGTCGTAGTATTGTTCCATATATGGATGTGCAAGAGCCTCCTCAATACCAATTCGCTTATTTGGATTGAATGTCAACATTTTATCAAGCAAGTCTAAAGCTCTTGGGTCAGCACTGGGATATAGTCGAGACCATTGTTGTTTGACCTTCGGTTGTAGAGATAGGAGGTAAGCGCGAGCCTGGAATAAATCTATTTATTTTGGTTTTTAAGTTAATTTTATTTTGAAGACAAAAAATCACAAGTTTCATAAAAGAAAATCACTCCTTAATTCAATTAAAATAAAAACCTTTTCATTAATAATACATTGTAAATCTTCTTGAGACGGCGAGCCAACAACTGCTAATATTAAATTCAATTGGTCCAAATAATGCTTCCCAGGAAAGAGTGGTCGATTATTCAACATTTCGGCAAGGATACAACCAACTGACCAAATATCGATTGATTTTGTATATCCTTTGGAATTTAACATAATTTCAGGCGCCCGATACCATCTATTAAAAACATTTTAAATTTTAAAAAATCAATAAAAAACCTAGTTGCCACATATTCAGTCAAAAATCCAGTATGGTCATGTTCAGGATCAGAAACTCGAGCAAGTCCAAAATCACAAATCTATTAAATTGTGATTCATTATCGGAAAGATAGAATTTAATACAACCTTGAGATCACAAGTAGTATTTAATAAAAGATTGCTAGGCTTTAGGTCTCTGTGAAGAACATTGGCAGAATGAATGTATTTGAGGCCTCGTAGAATTTGATATAAAAAATAACAGATATGGTCATTCGAAAGGCGTTGCGTTTTAAGCAACTTATATAAATCTGTTTCCATCAAACATTGAACAATATATCTAAAATTAGTTGTCATTTAATTTTAAGAATCTTGGTAAAAAAAGTTACATGTCTTTCATTTGTTCAATGCTGGGAGCCCGAATTATAGCTTGTATATTAATGATCTAAAAAATAAATTTTTAAAAATACTTTACACAGCAGATATACATTTTCGTGTTTGAAGCGAGAAAGAATTTTTATTTCCCGGAGTGTCCGCTGGCAGAATGTTTGGTGTTCAAAAGGTGAAATTTTCTTTATTGCCACACGCTCCCGCGTAATTGTGTCAAGAGCAGAACTTAATTTTAAAGTAAAAATAATTCAATTAACATTAAAATCAACTTACACAACCATTCCATAAGCACCTTCTCCAATATAAGATAAATTCACATAACGAGGACTAACTTCAAAAATTTGTCCATGAACTTCCTCAACAATCTTTTGTTGCGGGATATCTGCTGCTGTTGTGGGGGCTGATTGTGGTTGTTGAGAATGCTGCACAGTGTTGGCTGCAGCCATATTTTTTTACAAATAATCTGAAATTTTTAATTTTGTGTAAAAATTTTTGAGTGAAATTAAAGTAAAAATGGATGGGCGCGGCACGGTTTGGACGTCGTGATTAATTTAAAGAGTAGAGAATTTCGATTACCTAAAATAGACTCTAGGAATTTGTCTAAAATTGTCATACATTCTCGAACTATAAATGAAAAAAAGATGCCAATTGGCCTAAATAAAGTGGAATGAGGAAGGCTTAAATAAAACAAAAGACGAAATATACGTGGCTGGGAATTTATTTACGTAACAAGCGGCAAGAATGAGAACATATTTTGATCAAGGTAAAAACGAGGAAATGGAAAAATGACAAGAAACATATAACTTTTGAATGGCTGATACTTGTGTAGTTTACGCCCCATGAGCCCCGAACCTTCTCGTCCTTTCACTGGACCGAATGGCTAAATCCGGATTTAATAAATATCCGAATTAAATCGTTTAACAAAAATTTTGGAGAAATGGTATAACAAAAGAATTGAGCTGACCTTTACACACATTTTATAATGCAAAGTTTGTTTTAATTTTACGCCTTACAGCATTAAATTTTCTTCATAAATTGAAAATATGCTAATAAAGGCTAGCTGGGTGGTAAAAAGTATATGAAAATGCTTTAAGGCAAAATAAATTACGTAGAATTTAATGCAAGATGGATTGGTTGGTTTAATTTTAACGTTAGAGACCCTTATATTTAAACGAAAATTAAATAAACAAATAAAAAAATAAAAAAGATGAAAATTTACTTTTACAAAACAGTTAAACTGCTCCGGTTACAGGAAAGTTTTTGTATTTTGTGTGACTTTTTTGGCATAAAAAATTTTCCCACATATTTTTGTTGCGTATGTCAGAATGATTCGATTAGTAAGGCCAACTAAATATAAGGAGGAAATAAAGGAAAAGCGGCACAGTGTACGTATGTAAATATATTGACAGCCGATGTTCTTGTCTAGCTTGCCCTTTTCTAAGCATCTATTTCTTATACAAAACATTTAAAAAATTGTTGTTGAGCCTTAATAATTTAACATTTTAATCAGAAGAATGTTCTGGTTTGACCGATAAGAGGTGGGTAATTTGCGCGCGGATATAAATGAAAAAATGGCATTTGAGGAATATGGCATATGGAAAATTGTAGAGTAACTTAAAAGGAATGTAGGTAAAAACTAAAATAGATAAAGGAAAAGGGATATATAAAATAAATAAAGGAAGTATATAGATGTAAAAGGAATGTGTTTTAAAAGAGGCACTTTATGAAATGAAAATTTTTTTCGCTTAAAAATTATTGAATATAAATTATTTTTAGATTTAAAATTATTGAATTTATTGAAAAATTCAACTACAGTAGAAATGAAGAAAAAAAAGTTGGGGAAATTTTATTTTCATTTCTCGGTTGTCCAGATGTTAAAAATTTGTTGAAAGTGTTTAGCAGAATATAAGCAAAAGTGAGGACTTTCTTTTTCATTTATTCAGTTCCTTACAACTTCTATAATCCAGTCTTCAACAAATGATTATTTGACTGAAACCCTTCTGAAATGTCAGAAAATAAAATGAGAAAAAGAAAGACTCTCGACTTTTCTATCGACTCAATTTTGGAAACAAAAATACCGCGAAATATCCCTATTATGGAAAGAAACATTCAATCTTCACAAGATGAAAGGCTTTATTGGACACTAGAAAAGGCAGAAATACGTCTGGAAGGAGTACAACTATGGCGGCGTTTTAACTCTCTGGGTACCGAAATGATTGTGACTAGAAGTGGCCGAAGAATGTTTCCCACACTACAATGTTCTCTATATGGATTAGTACCGAGTCTAAAGTCTTTAGTTTTTAAAGTTTTAGTTTAGCCGTTATTCTAGTTATTCACTAATGGTAGATTTTCAATGCACTGACCAGAAACGATACCGGTAACAATTTACTTGTGTTTTATTATTTTTCTAGATATTCTTTCCACCACTCAAAGTGGACAGTAGCTGGTCCAGGTATTTAAAAAGTCCATTTAAATAAATTTAAAAATAGGAGAGACAGAGTTTCCAGCCAGACTGCAACTCCATCCAGGCAAACACATATTAATTTAAAAAACTAAAAACTTTAGAATCGCCAAACAGTGGTGCGCATTGGGAAAGGCAAGCTGTTGTAACCTTTGACAAAATCAAATTAACCAACAATCCATTAGACCAGAATGGCTATGTAAGTATCTGCGAGAAATCGAGATAGATTTTCGATCGAGTCGGTCCGGTCTCTAATTTAAACTGCCTAACCCTCGTTTAGTTCAAAAATTTTTTCTCCTACGAGAATCTAAAATTAGTGAGGTTACTTGTCTCGAACAAATATGCTTAATAAGTAGTTAAAATCTGTCGATTCCCCTCCAATCTTTTACTATAAAATAAAACCACAAGTGGTAGATTTATTGAAAGAAAAAACTCTTAGCGAAAATTTCCAACTTTCCTTTCATAAAAATACATCTGTTCTCGCTCAGAAAGCCGTAAATAATTTGTGAAGTGAAAAGGAAAGTGAAAATGTATTCTTAAAAACATTTCAAACTTTTACAGGGGAGGAAAGCCCAAAAATATAATTTGTTTTTAATAGATAATTATTAAACCTTTTAAATACCTTTAATCAGGCAATTGTCAACTCAATGCATCGTTATCAACCTCGATTCCATTTGGTTGCGCATGTAGACCAAGCCAGTTCATTGAACAGAAGAAAAACTTTTATTTTTAAAGAGACTGCATTTATGGCTGTCACTGCTTATCAAAATCATCGCGTCAGTTCTGAATTAACTAAAATTATTTAATAAAAATAGAACCGTATTTACTCGATTAATTCCCCTGTGGAATTAATATTTCAATCCATCTATAGGATGAATTATTCGAGGGAAATTATTCGAGTTTTGAAATATGAACGAATTGTAGGGCATTTAAGGGTGGGGAATTAATTTAGTAAATAGCGTTAATTATAGAACCTATTTTCAGATTACAGAATTAAAAATCGAGAGCAACCCATTCGCCAAAGGCTTCAGAGATTGTAGTCTTCTGATTAACAATGATGCTGATCTATCAGTTAAAAATGCTTCTTATCACGTCAACGCGAGTTTCAGGGAATCATTTGGTTGGTTATCTCCTGAGTCTGCCTGAAAAGAAAATTATTTAAGGACACTCGTTATTTTAATCATAAAGAATTTTCTTATCTTATTCGAAATAATTCATGATTGTAGTTAAAAATGAATTTTATTTATTTATTGGATGACAGTATCTAAAACAAAAAAGACAACCTTTTAGAAAAAGAAAGGCTTTGTGCCCCTCTAAATGGATATTTCTATCAGGCACAGTAAAACGAACCATTTTTCCTTCAAAAATTTGAGAAATAACATTCTTATCCGTCACAGCTTGCTACATAATAAATTTAAAGAGTACTATAACCTTGAAAGTAAAAATTTCAAATATTAAATAATGAAATTTAAAAGGTGGAATGTATTGACGTTTTTAAGATTGTTGGTTTTAAGAACTCCTTCGGATCTACGAAACTGAACCAAAAAGACTTTGATTCCTGTTAATTTTCGAATAGACAGTCTCAAGACGTTGCTAATGGAACTGAATCAAGTTTTGAACTCAAACTAATTTTTAAATTTAAAAAATTACGAGAATAAGTTAATTAAATTTATAAAGAAATTAAGTTATAATATACATTAATATATTGTGAATATAAAACAAAATACTTCATTTCTAAACATTTTATTTATATTCATAATCAAAAACGATTTTTTGTTGTTAATGGAAACCTTTAGATTAATCTGGGATGGAAGGAGACAATAAAAGTTTAAAAACGAAAAATAAAATAGAAAGCTTTTGAAGAGATAGATTTAGTAAAAGGGATTGCATGTTAAATAAAGATATGCAACATAAAAAAATAATCATTTAAAGATAATAAAAAAAATCAATCATTTTTACTCATCAATATTCTTTATTATAATACTTCAAACCAGGAATTGTCTGTTAGTATTATCACTATTTATTTCCTCAATTTCTTGTCTTTGTATTGACGATTGTGAATGGAATGTTGAAGTATTTGAATGGCTAAGGGAATTTTGTTGTTGTTGCTGTATAGCTAATTGAACTGCAGCAGCTACTTGTGCTTGGGCAAGTGCAGAACTTAAAACATGTTGCTGTGCCTGTTGAAGGTGTTGATGGTCTTTACTTTCCTTTTTGTGCTTCATCCGGCGATTCTGAAACCATATCTTTACCTGCAAGAAAATTTAAACATCAATTAAAAAATTAATGCTTGCCTGTCTTTCAGTAAGTATAAGTGTATGCGCTATTTCAATCCTCCTTTTTCTGGTCAAATATCTAAAATTTCATTTAAATTAATTTTACACGAAAGATCCCTCACTTGTTAAAATGAAACTCTTTTTCAAGCTCTAATACTTGATTTCGTGTATAAGCAGTTCGTTGACGTTTTTCGCCACGAGCTGAATCTGGAAAAATTTTTTTTAAATTAACCTTGAATATTTGTTTGTTTTACTTTAAAATTATATTTAAAACTCAATTTTATATTCTATCCTTCTTTTAAAAATATTTGTCTCTCCCGTTTAATTCCCCAGGAATCTCTAAAATGGTTGGATGATTTGTGGCTCCCCTCTATTCTATAGGCCTATTTTTGATTTATTTGTTGAATAAATCCCAGCCGAGAATCGAAAAGGGTTATAATCGAAAGAAAGTACACACACTCATAAATATGCTTTGTTGTAATAAATTTATTTGTAAATTTGGCAAAATAAATCAAAAATTAGGAAAAACAAATCCCTAGCATTTCCTTTTCACATAGGGAAAAGTTTATCCCAATAAAAGAATCATTCAAACATTACAAAAAAATAAAAATATAATTTTCCTTATCTAAATTAAGTCAAAAAATTAAGTTTTGTTGACCTATTCCCCCCTTAAAAAGTTGTTTAAGGCAATAAATTAGAATAAATAAAATTATTATTGCAAAAATAGTGGCCCACCAAGATTAAATCTTAAAATAAAAACTAAACGGAAAAAGGAAGTAGAAATACAATTGTTGTTGTTGCTGTAAATCACTCTCAGATGTTTGGGTTGTTTTAGGTTGTGTCATTTAGATTTACAGAAAAAAAAGATATAAATAAAGAGATTTAGAAAGAGGATACATATTTCAGATTATTTTCAAAAAAATAGTCTAAAAATTAATTTAATCATTTATGTTCTCTATTTCAATCCCAATCTTCAAAAAATCTAAAACCGTTATTATTAACTGTCAAATGTGGTGGGGGAAACGAGAGCGTGCGTGAAGATTAATTGCTTTTAGACTCATCCGAGGGACTCTGGCCCAGATTATTTTTTTAAATCTAATTCAATGGACAGTAGAAAGAGGAAATTTTGGATTGGTTAGTGACCGAAGGCGCTTCACAACGAATAGCATCATCACCAAACATTTTTAATTTTTCCTTCATCAATTGTCCTCCCTCAAAATAAATACGGCAAGACAATTAATTATAAGTATCAGAGTATTTTTTCTTATAAAAAATTTTTCTCTGCCCACACTCGTTGTAATTAAAAAAATATCGTTAGAAATCTAAAAAAATATTTGTCACCAGCATTTTTACAAGTTAACAAGTTATAAATGAGTTTTAATTTTCCACCTTTTCTAACATATAAAGTTAAATAGTTAGTACTCATATCACCTTTTTAAAAGAACCGCCAGTTATTTTAAAAAGATAAAATCTGCACCCAATCGATTTGCAGCCGTTAATGCCTCTCGGGGAGGAGTCTTAGTTAAACCGGCTTTTAAGAAGCCTCTCTTCTAGCAAGGGTGAATCAATGAGAGAATAACAAAGAAAATGAAAAAAGATTGATGAGAAAATACTGTAAGGTGAAAGTAAAATAAAGGAGAAAATGAAAAAAAATATCCCAAAAATTGCGACTGGTAGGGTGGTGAAATCCCTAACTAATAATTAATTTAATTTTCTCAAAACTCACTGCTTGAAGAATGCACTCGGGTCATCCAAGGGAAGATTGTTGGTTCATCGCCTCCCGTTACTGTCGCTGACCGATCATCATCATTCTCCTCTTCATTTTGTTCCTTTGTTTGTTCAAAATAGTTTATTGGTAGGCTATTGCAGTTGTTAATTTGAGAATGGCATCCTTGGGTAGCTAATTCAGTATGTGGTACTGGTGATCTTTCTGTATCTAAAATTGTTCTCAAATCTAAAACTTTATCTAAAAAAATTAAACCTTCGGGGGAACTTGTTCTAAATCCATTTAACAATAAAGCTTCTTCATTAGAAATCAATCCTTCGTATCGCTTTCGACGAGAATTTGGTTCATCTTCCTCACTACCATTTAATGTCCTTTTTCGTTTATAGCGTTGTCCTGGAACTTTTGTGTGTTTTTCTTCATCCGAAAATTTTGTTTTGTTTATAGAAACTTCCCAATCAACAATTCCATCGCTAATCGTAGATGTGCCGGGGACGAACAGCTCCATTGGCTGAAAATGGTTGATACTTTTTGGAATTAAATAAATTTATGGGATCGTTAAATTAACTAGATAATTCCTCAAAAATAATGCCCATGCCCTAGTCATTAAAATAAAGAACCTTAGAATCAGAAATCAATGAAAAATGAGCTTCTGTTTGAGATCTTGAACATTGAAAATTTGGAAGCATTGAAATAGGCTGACGTGAAGGAATTTGTTGTTGTTGTTGAGGATGTGAATATATTAATTGGTGTTGTGGTAGAATTTGAGAAGCATCAGAGTTAACAAACCCGTAAAATGAATTTTGGTGAGTATTTGAAATGGTGGGTGGAGTTGCAAAAATGGGCATTTGTTGTGGGGCCATTGTTTGTTCTGAGGGTATTAGAGGCTGGTAATTAGTCATTTGAGATTTGGACTAAAATAAAAAAAAAATTATAAAAAATTATTTTAAATGTGTGAAAATTATTAATTACTTTCCCAACGAAAAATGGTGAAAATTGGAGAATTAATTACCTACATATTTTTATTTTTAAAAAATTAAAATAAATTTTTTCTTATCAACCCTTACCCTTCAACTTTAAACGTGCAAAAAATTCTAAAGACATTTATCAATTATTATATACGTAAATTTTTTTCTTCCCTTATTAGTTCCTACTCATTTCATTTGCATGAAGTTATAATGGTTATTAATATAAATGATTAAATGATAAATTCTTTCGCTCGAGCAATTCTTTAGAATTAAACTGCGAATTGAAAAGGAAAGTAAAAAAGGTAAGTTATATCAAAGATAAAAATAGATATCAGAGGTCAACAAAAGATATGTGGTCTATTAACTTATAGTTAGAAAAATCTCCTATATAATTCAGTTGGAAGATATCAATTTCGAGGAATGATTTTTAAAATTAAAAAAAATTTAAATTGAAAAAAATATACAAAAAAATAATTTTCTTACCAACTTAAATTTTTTTGGGGCTATTTAAATGCATTTCAGTCTCTCGGCTGTCAGTTTAATATTTTCTTCTTCCTATACTACATTCACATTTCTTTTCTTTTAATGAAAAAAATATTCCATCTCCGCCTATTTCTCCGCCTTAAACCCTGAGTGGTTTGTTCTCATTACTACAATCCTTCTAATTAAAATCATCACAAAAGAAAGGACACACGCAGGAATTAAAAAAGGTTCATGCAAGCAAGCATGAGTTACAGATAATTAATTTTCAGAAAAGATGGGTGGATTCCTTATTTTAAATTTCTGTCTACAATTCAAAAATTTTAAAGATAAAAATAATCCAAAAAAGGTAGAAGGGGGATCCTTGGATGGATTTATCTTTAGTTCAAGAGTCACGGGAATATCCGATCTGCATAATGTAATTAGATTATCTTCCCCTTAAAAATTATATTCTGAAAACTAATGAACTATAAAAATAAAAGAGAATCCACGAGTAAATAAATAAAAATAAAAAAAGGTGTCGCCATAAATTTATTTAAATTATTTATTTACTTTACCACCATGCGCGAACACGCCCCGCTCAATTTTAGGCGTTTGGAAGATCAACACGTCTTCTTTGCAGCTGTCATTTATTGCGGAACATTAAAAGGAAAAATCTTTTTAAAGTGCCCGACGACTGTCAACAATTATAATAAAAGGGATTTTCCGCTACTATTTCTTTGTATAATTTTGAATTGTATGGCTTTATTCTTATAAAAACAATACGAAAAATTGAAAATAAGGGGGAGGACGATAAGGGTTTATAAAACAGAAACAAGATATTTTCAAAGAGAGAGAGGGCCTGCCCTTTCATATTTCGGCTGTCCTATTGAAGTGGGGGAGAAAGAACTCAAAAAGATGCCGACTTTGGCCATCAATTCAAGTGAACGGCCAACACATTTTGTCATGGATTTGCTTTAAGAAATGTCTCACTATTTATAAATATTGTGAGGGATTTGTTTTGCCATAGGGCAATGCCGAAAAGAATATACTATAAGAATTTAAGAAGAAAAAAACCTCCGCTTTTCCCAATGTGGGTGTTGCCCTCGACGATCGATCATCTCACCATTTCTGCTACTTTTATCTTATGAAAAGGTTTGCCGCTCTACCTTTCTTGCTTAAGCTCAATGAGCGAGGTCGGGATTGGCGCCAAATCTCTCAAAATATTTATGTATGTTTGATCTTCTCTTTTTGTTTTTTTCCTCAACACCGTCACATAAATCAGAATTATTTTTCGATGATCTATTAGTTTCTTATATCAATAAAACTTTCATATAAGCCAAGCCGAAGAGGGAAAACATAAGAAAAAACTAAGGTGTTCCCAAAAATACAGTTTTAACTTATAATACAATTCCCTCAAATTGAAATTATTTAAATAATTTTATACCATAAATTTATTCCTTGAATTGAATATTAGATATTAAATCCTTATTTAACGCGTAACTTTTGTTTGTGTCTCCAATTGCTTTCGTAAATGTTCGTTATGTTCTTCTATTTTTTTCACCTCTTGGCTAAGATTTTTCAGTTCGTCATTCCCTGCTTGAATTGTTTCATAAGCTTTTCTTAATATTTGAGCTCGAGAGGCCTAAAAAATTTTTAAAAATGAAGAATAAGAGTTAAAAAGAAACTACGCGATCACTGGAGAAATTTGGGATTCCATCCTTCAATGAGCAATACATCTAAAATTTAATGTTTGCTTTTTAAGACAATAATTGAAAAAATATCCAGAATTTACATCTTTAATATTGTCACGTCGTCGTCTTTCCAATGCATTCTGCAATTAAGATTAAACTTTAAAAATTAAATAATAAAAAATACGTGTTGAGCGCGGGCCTGTTTTTTGTAGTCATTTAGTGGGTTGTTTTGACTTGGTGACATTGCACTGTCATCAATATCGAACTAATGTATTAGAAAATAAAAGGATTAAATGTTTCAAAATTCATACATCATCGCTGAACGTGTTGTCCTCCATAAAAATTCAATGCCAGTTAAATTCAAATCTAAATTCAAAATAGTAATAATTATTTTAAAATCGTAAAATATTGAACGGATGTTCTTCCTATAATAATAAAAAGTAAAAGTGTAGAAAAAGAATTTTAATAAAAATATGTAAGAAAAAATAACCAATTTAAATAAAAAATAAAAATTTATTAAAGCAGATTCTTAATTTACACATAATAATCATGTTGTTTTCGGCGGTCTTGAATCCTCACTTCCTCCTCTAGGGACATTCTTACTAAATGCAGATTCTTCTAGCAGCTTTTCAAAATTTGGAGAACTAAAATTAACATAAAGTATAACCTTTTTAAAAAAACAACCCTTTAAGTCCAGCAGATTTGGCTTCAGACATTATCAGATCTTTGAAGGACTCGCATTTTTGTTCTATCTAAATACATAAAATATGAAGACATAATAAATAAAAAAAAACCTCGTCAAATTGTTTGATGGCGTTTTCAATCCTATCTTCATTCACATCAGTAGTTTGACAATGATTAGTGTTATTATCAAAACCCTTTTTCATAAGTATCTTTAACACAAAATATAAATTCAACATCCACCAGCAAAAAATATCTGCAAGGATAAAAGACAAAACTCTTAAGAACAAACATGTGACTCAAATTATGATTTTAAAGTAAGACTCAATAGGAGAAAAGTTAGGAGAGACAACGTGGAATGAAGAGTATGGAGGATTGTTAGATTAAAATATTACAAGTACAATTGAGTCTAAGAGTTTTTGGTCGACTTTTCGTTTTCTTATCAGGTGATTTGGTTTTCTTAACAAATTAAAGTCGATGAGTTGTTCACAGAATGTGCTGTCTTTTGCAGAGTTGAATCAACGTTTGCATAAGGTCTTATTTTTGATAATTTAAAATATTTTAACCCTTATTTTGTAGGATGAAGAATGGCTTAAAGATTTCCAAGAAGCCCTAAACAAATCAAATCAGATACAACAATCAGTTTGCACACTTCTTGGTAGTTTTCAGGACCGTATCGACTCGCTTTCTGCAAATGTTGCAACACTTTATACAAAATCAAGTGTTATACAGAGGGAACAACAAAGTTTGTTTTTATGTTTTGCATTCATTCTAAAAACAAACCCCTAGATATTCGCAAGCTTCTTTCTACGGTGGATGCTACCATTCAGTTTCATGGAAAAACGACTGCCTTAGAAAATACTATCAGGGTTTTCTTAACTATTTTTTTAAATAGAGCTGACTTTTAATTTTAGGATGGTAATGTGATGCTTGCTCTTGACGACTATTTGGAGAAAATGCGAACACTTAAAGAAGCAATTGCTTTCTTTTCTACTCATCTTACATACAAAAACAAGTTGGAACATGTGGTAGGAAATTTGTTAGGTACATCAATTTTGTAATTTTATCAGAAGTTGATCTATGAAATTGGCTATTCTAACATCGAGGCAGAATTTTCTAATTTGGTTAGATACAGTTGCGTTGCTGTAGATGCAAAAAAGCTATTTGAATGTCTCGATGATGATTATGGCAAGTATCATTTGTTTATTTGATTCAATTAAATTTTAGAAATGCCATCATTCCGATTGAGTTTATTTATGACGCTTCGCGACGTACAAAAAATTCATCAGATTGCCAGTTGGCTTTTAGAACACAGCGATTCAGATGGACAACGACAATTCCTTCAATCCTATTCACAATTTCGAGCTGAAAATATGATGGTTAATTGTTCGCTTTACAAATAATTTTTCATTTTTTTATTATTAAGAAACCCTTGCAATTTATTGCTGATCAAATCGGACCTAATAATCGAGTCAAAAGTGGACAATTTGTTAAGACGTAGGTTTTTATTTTTCTTGGATTTACAATTAGTTTAGGAGCAAATTAATTTTTAAAATGTTTCTTAACTTAAATTTATTCAAATAGACATAAACAAGAAGATCAAATTTCTGGTCCTATAGTTAGTGGGGAAAATTGGCGAAAAGTTTTACGTGGAAGTTCCACTAATAAATTAACGGAAAATCAAATTATGGTTAAAAAGCAATGTTTTGATGTTAGTAAAAATAATTTAGAAAGAAAAGCAAAAATTGATAAAGTTGTGTGGAAAGGGAAAAATAATTTAGACGATAATAAAGTTTCCAATGTAAAGGATAAGGAATTAGATGAACAAATTGATCGGATTGGAATCCGTCAGTTTGCACCAATTGCTTTCAGACTTTTGTTGAAATTAGATTTTTTCATTTAATTTAAAATTTTTTTTTATTTTTAGTGCACTGAAAAAAGCAGCTAGCAGGATCGGTATTAATTTAAAAGTTGAAATTATCTTTGTTAATTTTTTAGCTGATTCAAATGATCAACTACACCGAGATAATGCAATTGCCGTCACCCTTTTTATGCTTTCATCTACTGTTGTTTTAATCCAACTTGAAACAGAGCAAAGTTCGGCCGTTTTTGGTAATGTCAGTGTTGAGGCAGAAGTGTTAAGACAAATTGTTGGCGCTTGTTTGGGTCGTGTTTTATCACATGCACTTCGTGTTGTTGATTCTTATGAAGGAAGCTTTATGATACTTCTACCTCTTGCTCGTTTCATGCTCAAACATGCAAATCAGCTTGCTTCTCTTTCCGAAGTATTTTTTGAATTTATTTTGTTTTTATTGTTTTAGAATCTTGGCGAATCAGCTCAATTTGCCTCACTCCAATCTTCCTTATATCGAAAGTCGATTATTCTCATTAAAGATTATCGATTACGATTGTCAGGTTATATTTTTTAACTTACTATTTTTATTATTCAAAATTTTAGAGGATCAGATTGGCGGTCGTTTTTTGCCTCAGGATGGCAACGTTCGGAATTCTAAATTTGATTATTTAATTTGTTGGAATTTCAGGTGCATCCAATAAGTAGTGGAACACTAAATTTACTCAAAGTATTAGTTCAACAACAAAAATTACTCAATCAGCTTATACAACGTGCCGAGGTTCATGAGAGTCCAGGCGCTTTGGCAGGTTTTATTTGAAAAATTTAAATTGTGATTGAGGTTCCAATTTCAGTGCAAATTCTGAAGGCTCTTAGTCAAAATCTACGTCAAAAGAGTAGTACTTATGAAGACTCTGCATTAGCTTCTCTTTTCATGATTAACAATCTTCAATATATCGGTCAAACTGTAAGCCGTGAAAGGACTTTGCTTGCTCTCCTTCAAGGTGATCAGACAGCATTTCCTTCTAGTTTTGAAACAGAGGCGGAAAGTTATTTACAACAATTTTTGAAAGTTTGGGCTAAGGTTGGTGAGGTTTTCAACGCTGATTTGGGGCCAGGAGAAGAGAAACGTTCTGTGAAATCAATTTTTTCGGTATATTCATTTTAATCATTAAATTATGAATGCGTTTTTGCAGGTTTTTACTCGGGAATTTGATGCAATCGTTGAACAACAAAAAATTTATTGCGTAGCCGATCAAATAACAGCTAACAATGTCCGAATGAGAATAAAAAGTCTTGTCTTACAGCCTTTTGTTGAATTTAGCAAAAAGAATTCGCAAGAATGTTCAGAACTTTTTGAAGCCGACAGGCAACTGAAATATGATGCCGAAACGATTGAAATGATCATTGATAGATTGTTTGATGCAACATTATGAAATGAAAATTATCATGAAATTTTGGGCTTGATTTCATTCAGTGTTTAAGGATTTCCACTTTGTATGTCTATTTTTAAAGATTATCTCATCAGAAAATAAATTTATATGCAAGTCTTGTTTTTTACTTAATTTAATCGGAATAGTTATAAAATACTTATGCTTTTTTTTCATTCATTAATACCTAGCTTTTTCACCTACAGGGCAATTGCCCGACTCAAAATTTTGTTGAATATTTGTTTTCTCAGTCAAATGCATGCTCTCCGCTTCGAAGGACGTGTGGTGCTTGTGGTTATTAAATATAGGATTCTTCGAAATAAATTTATTTTAAGACTGGCGCAGGTCGTGGACTTGGGAGATCTTATGCACTGGAATTTGCCAAAAGAGGAGCTAAAGTTATTGGTTAGTTATTTGTTAAGTTTATCTACGTATTTTAAGTGAACGATTTGGGCGGTGATCGACATGGGCAGTCTGGGTCTTCAAATTGTGCTGCTGATGAAGTAGTGAAAGAAATCAAGGCGTGTGGTGGTCAAGCAGTGGCGAATTATGACAGGTTTAAAAATCTATCTTTTTTACTATTTAAGAAAGTTTCAGTGTGGAACAGGGTGAAAGCATTGTACAAACTGCAATAAAAAATTACGGAAGGATTGGTACATAATTGAAATATTTTTTGTTAGTTGTAATTTTTCGCCAAATTTTAGATGTCGTTGTCAACAATGCTGGAATTCTAAGAGACACAAGTTTTGCTAAAATGAGTGAACTGGATTGGGGTATAATTATTTTTACGTTAATTCCAAAATCTTTAATTTTCCAGATTTGGTGATTAAAGTTCATTTAAAGGTTTTTAATAATCCTTTCTAAAATATTACAATGATATTTTAGGGTGCATTTTCTGTCACTAAAGCAGCCTGGCCATATATGCGTGAAAGAAAGTATGGCCGTTTGGTATTCATTTCTTCGAATTCTGGAATATATGGGAGTTTTGGTCAAGCAAACTACGCTGCTGCTAAGGTTTTGAAATTTAGTCAGTTATTAATTGCTTATTAACATAGATGGCGCTAATTGGATTGTCAAAAACTCTGGCTCTCGAGGGTCAGAAATATAATATTATCAGCAATGCTTTGGTTTGTATCCACATAGAAAAATTTCCAAATTAATTTTTAGGTGCCTACAGCCGGTTCTCGGATGACTGAGACAATAATGCCAGACGATTTGGTTAAGGCATTTAAACCCGAATTTGTAACTCCTCTCTGTATTTATCTGGGACATGAAAATTGCTCTTCAACAGGACGAATTTTTGAAGCTGGAGCAGGCTGGTATGGAACAGGTATATTGATTTTCGGAAATAAAAAATTAATCTTTAATAAAGTTGAGTCCTATCGTTCTGCGGGCCTGGTTATTTCAAATGCTATTGCTGAAGATGGCAAGTCTATTTTGTCCTTTAATTGCTAAATGAGTGTTTATAGTTGCAATCAATTGGGAGAAGATCTGTGATATGAAAGGTGCAAAACACTTTGAGAGCAGTAACGGTGGGTATAATTTATTTAAATATTTGGCTTGAAAATTGAAATAGTGTAATAGATTTTCCCAGGGTTTATTTTTTTCGCTATTAACAAGCTTTGAATTTGTTTTTTATAGATATTATAACCGAATTGGTCAACGTCTTGCAGGAAAAAAATACTTCCAAATTGTGAAATTAGAAATTTTATTTGAGATAATCTGACGGATATATGAATTAGGTAGACAAAAATATTTGAAAACTTTATTCAAAAAATAACTGACTTTCACTTATATTCTTTTTTCTTGCCAACTTTTCAAAAAATTTATTGAATTGCTAATAGTATATATTTTTAAAATAATCATATGCCTGTAAAATTTTCTGTAAACTGGTTATGAGGCGAAATTTGGCGATTTGTAGAGTGGCGGATTTCCTTAAATCAGGAATTTGTTCCTGTCATTTACTTTAATTTATACCGAAATTCGTTGTTCAAATTGAGCATCTTTTGCATTAGCGCCTAATGAATCCTTTTGCATATTTGCCTGTCGTTGAGTGTTAGTCATTGCTAGAAAACATTAATTTTATCACATTAGCTAGGGCTTACTTTCATCTCTCAACTGACGCGCAAACTTTAAAGGTGTAGGAACATTAGGACCAGCAGTATAGGGCGGAAATGGACCAAATCTAAAAAAATAGGACAATTCGAGTTTATAGAAAAAATTCTTACGATTCCTCCACAGTTTGTGTATAATGTTGTCGAGTGATTGTCCGTGTGGTCTCTGTTAGATTAGGATCAATTGCAGTTACTGGAGTTCCTGTTGCATACTGATGGATCAGTTCTCGGGGATTCGTGACTTTATAGTCCTTCTTTATCTCATAACGATAGCCCGGCTCGTATAGGTCTGCTAAACTAACCCAGAAATATGCTACATTTAATTTTTGGATTAATTTTTTGAAATACTACGTAATTAAGAATACAAGATCAGATATGGGAAGCCAGTTTTCATTAAAAATTTAGGCAGCTCACCGCTAGAACGTCCAGAAGTGGGAAATTCTGGTCCAAAGTTGCCAGTTCCATTTGTTGCTGGGCCCAATCCAGGTGTTGAGCGTGTAGATCCATGTGGTCCTCCAACCCCGGGACCAAAATTTCCATCTCCAGCAAATGGTCCATGCCTTCCTGCAGTCGGTGGTCCTCCAAGTCCGCCATCTTTCGGGCCTCCAATTCCATGATCTCTTGGTGACATCCACTGATCTTTTGGAGCGCCATTTCTGTTGTTAGCTGGCATTGATTGTGCCGATTCAGGACGTTGATAAGGTGACCCTAATTGGTCTGTTGTCTTGGAAAATGGATCCGTTTCTGGACGCTGTAACTGTCCTTGTCCATCTGCTGTCGGTGAAGCCGCACCCATTTGCTTGCTTCCATAAGCCAGATTTGAGTCAGATTCTCCACCTAACATTCTAGGTAAGATTTCTTTGAAAATTTATCTGAACCTCCGGTTGACCAAGTTTTCTCAGTAACTCTCAAGCCAGGCTTTCCAGGTGGAGCGCGCTCCACCACTCGTTGTTGGATCACTTCAACTTTGGGTGTTAAATCAGGTGGAAGACGTTTGAGCTCAACACCGTCTGCGGCCACAACTCCTAAGAGTAAGGTATTTCTTCTTGATTTATTTATCTAACATACCATCTCCGATTGGCGAGTAGTAGAACCGACGAGTTTTCAGCGATTTTGTGACCATTGATGGATCCGTAACCAGCTATAGAATTATTACTTTTTAAGTTGAGAATCCTTTTTAACAACCTCTCCTCCTCTCCATTGTGCAGGAGCATAGGCTACTCCAGAGCCGACTCGATCTCCATATCCAGCAAATGGTGTTTCCCTTTCCTGAGATAGAGCTCTGTCTTGTGAATGGCCACGACTACTCATTTTTGTAATCTTAATAAGGATATAGGAAATAAATTGATTTAAAATGAAAACTGTTAAGGAAAAAAGTAGGGAAAATAGCCTAAATATTTGCACCACTTTACTAGTTAGTATGACTGACTTCAAGCTCTCACATTAGCAAAAACGGAAATAAAGTAAAAAAGTGTTAGGCTAGGACGCTTGGTCAAATGAATGACAGAAAAATCGGAGTAAAGCCTACCCCCATAAACTATTTTCTTGCCTCTGGGCGTCCAGCCTCCTCAATAAACTGATCGAGAAGAAGCAGAGTGATATGCTTGCGACGTATAAAGTAAGAATGAAAGAATGCTGGGACAATAAAAAGTTGGGAAGTAACAGTTGTTCGATGCCATTTAGTTTTAATCGATCTGCTTGCTCATTTTGAATTTTACTTCATCTTTCCAATCCATTCTTGACAAATTAAATAATTTTTGAAGGAAAAAGAACAGATGAGTGGTTAATTTCTAGGCGTAAAATTTTTCGAGCATATGTTCAAATGTAAACACCCCACTACCTACATAATTAAAGAAAAAAAGAAGTATTTGAGTTAATAATGAAAAATTAGGTCCGAAATTAGCCAAATTAACTAACAATAGAGATAGGAGGAATGAAGTCTAGTTAAATACTTAAAAAATGCTTTTTATGAACAATATTCTAGACAGCTGTGACTAATAATTTTAAATGTTCTTTTGGAGAGAATTTTGAACGATGCTTTTTTTGCCAACTTCTAATCATTTGACACTGAGATAATCTTGACTCGAGTTTCATTTTTTGCATTGTTGCTTTTGCCGTATTGATCTTATGGAACCTCTTCATTTTTTTAATCCAAGATCAATTTTTATTTCATGTATCAATTTTCTTATATTTCTCCCTTCTTTTGTATAAGCTTACTAAAAACTAAGTGTGTTCCTCTTAACAGTTCTCAATATTTGCAGTAATTTTGCACATTTAATGGGAACAAAGAAAATATCAGTGAAACGTTAGCTTTCTTTTATCTTTTACTCAAAGGATAAGTAGTTACAGACAGATTGTGAACTTTCTAAACAAATTGAACTTTCTAAAAATTTCAAAGTGAGAATGTCAACCTAAAGCCTTTATTCTCTCCTCAATCTGATTTATAAATAATTCCGCTCTTTTGATTCCCATTTTTCAGTCAATTTGTTGCTAATGAAAAAATATTTGGTTTCCATGTTTATAGTCTGATTAAATATCCGCTCATTTAAATTGCTACTGTTAAAGCTCTCAGGAATGCTTATAGACCACTACGTCAAGAGCCACTGGCCTTCCATAGTTTTTGGAATGCGCTTTTAGTCCTCATCCTTTTCCTCTCTTTATCGATTCTCCATCTCGTCATCCAAGCAAAGTAAAGTGTTGTTGGGGACATTGTAAGGCCAAGCATTTTAGGAAGAAAAGGAGAACTTAAGGATTTTCCAGATTCTTTGCTTATTTACAGCCGGGAACGTGTTTTTAAAATTGAAAATTTAATAACAATTCTCCTTTTTATTCTCTCCTATTCATTAAAAACAATTAGAAATTTGTTGTTTCTTAATTATTGTTTTCTAAAATAATTTTTTATTGAACTTAACACATTTAATTAATTAATTTCCTTTCAGTATATTATGTATAAATTTATTAATATTTCCAACCAAGGCAAGAATAAGGCTATTTAAGTTTCCAGCACAATTTCGGCTTTATTTGGAGGAGTCTAATGTTACAGCAACCAGTGGTTAGAGAGCTGCGCTCATTCAAATCCCTTTCTAAATTCAACCAGAAACGGTAATAAACGGGCATTATTTGATCTAGAAATTTTAATTTTAGGAGTGGTAGTACGTCAAGGCGGAAATCTTTAGCAGTTCGGAAGCAATCAACACGAAGACAAAGAAATGTTGACTTTTCAGATGAGGAACAGGTTCAATGATTAATTTGTTTTAATATTATTTTTAACACAAATTTTTAATAATAGAGTGAACATCCATGCAGTAGCCATAGTAGGTGTAACACTATTTCTTCAAGCACAATGCGTCCAAGAAGACCAACTTTCCCTGATTGGGTGGAAATGGAGGAAGAGGAAGACCAATTGAGTGAAAAGAAACTGGAAGAATCAGAGGAAAAAATACTGGAGGATGAAACTGGTGATGAAGAAGATGAGAGCAATGAAGAATTACCCTTTCCAGGGTTTATCCTTTATCCAATAAATTTTTCATTAAACGCTAATTTATTCAGGTACGAGCCAGTTTCTCTAGGTTTTCTCCATCAAAATCAAAAACTTCGGTATTTGTCATTGTGTTTAGTGAATAATCTTTGGTTTGATCGTGTAACTGTACGTTTTTCCTAAAAAATTTTCCATAGAAATTCGTTCCAGATGGTTGTGATCTTTATTAATTGCATCACACTTGGAATGTATAGGCCTTGTGAAGATGGCCCTGAATGTGAAACATATCGTTGTTGGCTCCTTTCACTTATTGACCACACAATTTTCGCTTATTTTGCTGCTGAAATGGCAATTAAAATTGTAGCCTTTGGCTTTTGGGGCGAAACTGCTTATCTAGGTGATGGTTGGAATCGTCTTGATTTTTTTATTGTGCTTGCTGGTGTTGCTGAATATTTGTTATCGGTTTTTTAAAGTTTTTATAAAGTTTAAAATGCTTAAAAAATTTAGAAATATTTGGGCAATTTAAATCTGACAGCAATACGTACGATTAGAGTTCTCAGACCTCTCAGGGCAGTGAATAGAATTCCTTCACTACGTATTCTTGGTATTTAATATTTGATTATTTTACAAATATTTAATTTTTAAATTACCCACTTTTCAGTAAATCTCTTACTCGACACTCTACCCATGTTAGGAAATGTTCTTTTACTGTGCTTTTTTGTTTTCTTTATTTTTGGAATTATCGGAGTTCAGCTTTGGGCAGGTCTTCTGCGAAACCGTTGCGTAATTGAATTACCTTCAAGTGACTATTTGTCTTTAAAGAATTTTTCATTTCCTGTTGATATATCTTTGAGCAGGTTATTAAAATTTAATTTGAGATTTTCAAATTATTTCTAATTCTTTCAGGTATTACATCCCTCAGGATACGTCTTTAGATTATATTTGCTCACAACCTGATTCTTCTGGTCTCCATTCTTGTGAAAATTTACCTCAATACAAAAGTGATGGTAAAAAGTGCAATCTCAGCCTTTTTGATTACAATAATGAAGAGAATGATAGTTGTATTAATTGGAATAATTATTACTCAAAATGTCAGGTTATGCATAAAAATCCATTCCAGGCAAGTTAATAATTTTTTATATTTATTTTCAAAAATATTGTTTTATTTAAGGGCTCTGTATCTTTCGACAATATTGGGTAACATTTTTTGATTTCTAAATTTGAAATAAAAAATTTATTTTTAGATTTGCTTGGGTAGCAATATTTTTGGTTATTTCATTAGAGGGATGGACAGACATAATGTATTATGTGCAAGATGCTCATTCATTTTGGAATTGGATTTATTTTGTTCTTTTAATTGTGGTTAGATTTTTATTAGAATTATAAATAATTTTAAATAAAATAATTTTAAATTTGACAGATTGGGGCCTTCTTTATGGTTAATTTAGTAAGTACAGGAAAAAAATAAATTTAAACAAAAATTCTTTTTTAGTGCCTTGTTGTTATTGCTACTCAATTTGCAGAAACAAAAAGACGAGAAACTCAACGAATGTTGGAAGAAAGGAAATGTATAAATAATGATTCATTATTAGGTTTTTTTTTAATTTTTTCTTATATTTTAAAATATTTATATAGCGAGTGAATTTGGCTCTATCTCACAATCTGGGCTTCGAGATAATGCTGAAGGTGACAGCGTTTATGGGGCCTTTGTTCGTGTAATTCGACGTACATTTCAAAGAGCACGGCGTTTGCTAATTAGAACTTTAAGAGAATTTCGTAAAAAACAAAAGAAGACAAAACACGAAGATGAACGTGAAAGGGGAGACGAAAATTTAGTTGACGGTGTTGATGAAAAAGTGACAGATGAAGTTAAGGAGGGAAACATACAAAAGGAAAAATTAAATGGAAAAATCAGTTCAATAGGTTAGCCAATTTATTAGTATTTTTTAAATTATGTTAAAATTATGTAGATATAAAATTAGATGATAACAACAACAAAGAACATTCACGACGTCGAAAAAGCAGGCGAAACACTGAAGTGAATCCAAGCCCTTGGAGAGATTTTAAGTTAAGAATTCGAAGGTTTTGTTTTATTTTTGACAACATTTAATTTTAAATATTTTTTAAAGCTTTGTTTGTTGTGATCATTTTACTCGTGGTATTCTTATAGCTATTCTTGTAAATACACTTTCAATGGGTGTTGAATATCACCAACAACCTGAAATATTAACTACACTTCTTGAATACAGCAATCTTTTCTTTACTGCACTTTTTGCTTTGGAAATGTTACTTAAAATTGTTGCTTATGGACTGTTTGGTTATATACAAGATGGTTTTAATCTTTTTGATGGAGGAATTGTTGCTCTTAGGTAAATATTAAATATTGTGGGGGTTAGGGGGAATATCGAAAAAATTTTAAATTTTAGTGTGTTAGAATTATTTCAAGAAGGAAAGGGTGGTTTATCTGTTCTAAGAACCTTTCGTCTTTTGCGTATATTGAAGCTTGTCCGATTTATGCCAGCTTTGCGTTATCAACTTGTTGTTATGCTTCGAACAATGGATAATGTGACTGTATTTTTTGGTTTGCTTCTTCTTTTCATCTTCATTTTCAGGCAATTTAATAATTAAAAATAGTTGTTTAACTCTTATAAATCCTCTAAAAACTTACCTACTACTAATTTTTTGTAATCTCCCCACTTCCATCTACTAATTTTTTGCCCAGATTTATCATTACAATATCTATTTAACAATTTCTAACCATTTAAACCCACACTTACATACATATTTCCCATCCGAATTATTAATTTCACATATCCTTTATCCATCCTCACTTTAATCTACTAATTTCTTTTAGCATTCTTGGTATGAACTTATTTGGTTGTAAATTCTGCAAACATGAAGTCAATTGGATTGGAAACCAAGTATCCAAATGTGAACGTAAAAACTTCGATTCTCTCCTTTGGGCACTAACAACTGTTTTTCAGGTATTCGCTGTCTAAATATTTTTTAGTCTAGTATTTTTGTGTTGTTCTTTGTTTGATTTTTTTGTGTTTTTTAACCTTGTTTAATCACTAATATTAAGTTTCTTGCTATTTTATTATCCAATTTTATTTTTTAAATTTGTTTGGCAGTTTACTTGGAATGTTCTTATTTGGATGCACTTTTTGTTCACATCCTGATGATGGAACTCATTGCGCAATAAAAGATGTTAATAGCGGGCAATGTGAATGTGAACGTGCAAATTATGATTCTCTTTTCTCTGCTTTTTTGACTGTTTTTCAGGTTTATATTTTAATTTTAAATGTTCTTTTTTCTGTTTTCGAGTTTGAGATGTGCTTTATTTTATTTTTTTGTCCGTCTGATTATTTTTTGAGTTTTATTAAATTTTTGCTTATCTCATAAAAATCATTAGTAGATTTTGACTTGTGAGGATTGGAATATGGTTTTGTTTAATGGAATGTCACATACAACTCCATGGGCAGCTCTTTATTTTGTTACTCTTATGACTTTTGGTAATTATGTCCTCTTTAATCTTTTGGTTGCCATTCTTGTTGAAGGCTTTCAAGAAAGCAAGGTATCTAATTAAATTTAAAAATTGTGAAAATAAAATATAATTTAGGAAGAAGAAAAGCGTCAATTGGTTAGTTATTAATCATTAAAAATTAAAAATTCAAATTTAAATGGAACAGGAGGAAGAAGCTCTCAAGAGAGCAGAGGAAGAGGAGAATGAACGAAAAATGGAATTGGAAATGCTTATTGCCAGAACTACTTTAAATGCCTTTTTGAAAAAGAAATGTAGTTGTGGCCAAGACAATATTACAGTTGTTCGAGAACAATTAGGAAAGAAAATTATTGAGAATGAACGAAGGAAGGTTAGAAACTTTTTAATTATTATTTTATAAACTTTAATTTAGTCTCGTCAATTCTCAATTTCTGTTGATAACAAGGATCTTATGGATGTTCGACAACAACAGAAACGCAGAAGAGAAAGCTATGCACCTGGCAGAAGATTAACATGGCAAAGACATTCATCTCTATCAGTGCCAAGAGGACCTCATCTTGATGGTATGCAGCAGGTATAACAAAAATATATATATATAATGTGAAGTTCTGCAATTTAATAGCTGTTAATTAATCCAAAGAATTTTCATCAACCTGTTGAGCAGTCCCAATCAGAAGGAGAAAGGCCGCGATTGGCGAGCTGGTCTAACTCGGTAAAACATTTAATAATCCGACAATATGAATTCTTTAGCAGTTCAACTCGTCCCATTCACTCAATGTACATTCCTCTCTCTTTGATCCTCAGTGTCCATTGCATGGACATCGCGCAATTCTGGAAGCGTATACACGAGAAAAATATCTCAAAGCAAGTGAAGAACTACAGCATGCTTTGGCGGAAGAGCAAGATAGAGTCCAACAAAAAAGAAATATTTGGTGGAGAAGATTATTTAGAAAAACCTTCTTGTATAAGAGATCGGATCATTCTTTGTTTTTGTTATCAAGGAACAATATTATTAGAGAGGTTTTTTTTAAAAAATTATGAATTACATTTTAATTAAATATTTTTAGAATTGTTTTCGTCTGACTCAACGCAAATGGTTTTTTTCAAAATTTAAATAAAATTATTTTTTAATTTTATGTTTGACTATGTAATTTTAATGTGTATAAGCTTAAATTGTGTTACTCTTGCAATGGAAAGGCCAAGTATTCCACCTCAAAGTGCCGAACGTTTTTTTCTTTCAATAACTGGTTATGCCTTTACTCTTATATTTACCCTTGAAATGGTTGCTAAAATTATTGCAAATGGTTGCTTTTATGGTTCAGATGCTTATTTCAAGGATGGCTGGAATATTTTGGATGGTTGTTTGGTTAGTTAAATTTTATGAATTATTTTTTTTTCTGACAATGAAAATTTTTTAGGTGTTGATATCATTGGTTAATGTTATTATGGAGATTTTCGTTAGTGGAGGTATATTTAATTAAAATATTAAAACTTAATTTCACAGATTCACCTAAAATATTTGGCGTTATTCGTGTTTTACGACTTTTGCGTGCTCTTCGTCCTCTACGTGTTATTAATCGAGCTCCTGGTATACTTAATCTAGTAATTATAAACAAATAATTTGTAGGTGTCAAACTTGTTGTCATGACTTTAATCAGCTCTTTAAAGCCAATTGGAAATATAGTTCTTATATGTTGCACTTTCTTCATAATTTTTGGCATTCTTGGTGTGCAACTATTTAAAGGAACAATGTTCCATTGTGTTGGATCTCACGTTCAAAATGTTAGTACACGTTCTGAATGTCTTATTGATCCTAACAATCGATGGGTATTTTGTTAAATTTATTGATATTAATTTTTTATTAAAACTTAGATAAACCATCGCTATAATTTTGATAACCTCGGCCAGGCATTGGTTTGATTTAAATTTTTTTAAATTTAATTTTTAATGTTTTTATCTTTAAAGATGTCACTTTTTGTTCTTTCAAGCAAAGATGGATGGGTCTCAATAATGTATCAGGGTATTGATGCTGTTGGAGTTGGTTAGTTTAATGGGATTTCTTATTTTAGAAATAAATTTTCATTTCAGATATGCAACCAATAGAGAATTATAATGAATGGAGAATGATTTATTTTATTTCTTTTCTACTTCTTGTCGGCTTCTTTGTTTTAAATATGTTTGTTGGTGTTGTAGTTGACAATTTCCATAAATGTAAGGAAACACTCGAAGCAGAAATGCGCGAAAAGGCACAAAAAAAGAAAATGAAGAGACGCTTAAAACGTCAACAATTTGCCGAAATTGAACATATTAAGAAGAAAAAAGAAAAAGTCAAATCACATCCATATTGGGCAAAATATGGGCGAAGACGTGCAATTATAAATAATGTGGTTACAAGCAAATATTTTGATTTGGCAATATCTGCAGTTATTGGATTAAATGTATTTTTTAAATAAATTTTTTTATCAATTTTTGAAAGGTTGTTTCAATGGCTATGGAATTTTATATGATGCCAAATGGTTTGAGATATTTATTGAGAGCACTCAATTATTCATTTACTGCTGTATTTACGGTAATTGCCATTTTAAAGTTATTAATTTTCTTAAAAATTTTCTAGTTGGAAGCTGCAGCAAAACTTTATGCTCTTGGATTTGGTCGTTTTTTCGCTGAACGTTGGAATCAATTAGATATGTTTATTGTGCTCCTTTCTATTGCTGGCATTATATTTGAAGAATTTGAAGCTTTAGAATTACCTATAAATCCAACAATAATTCGTGTTATGCGAGTTCTTCGAATTGCTAGAGGTTTGGATTTTTTAAAATGAAATAATTAAAACAATTTTAATTAATTTTTTTGCAGTATTAAAATTATTAAAAATGGCAAAAGGCATAAGATCACTTCTAGATACTGTTGGTGAAGCATTACCTCAAGTCGGCAATCTTGGCTCACTTTTCTTCCTACTTTTCTTTATATTTGCTGCACTTGGCGTTGAACTATTTGGACGATTAGGTTTTAATTTAAAAATGTTTATAATATTTTATATTTATTTTTAGAATGCTCTGAGGAACATCCATGGTTGTTTTCTTTGTTTTTTTAATTTTAATTATTTTTTAGTGATGGACTTGGAGAACATGCACATTTTAAAAATTTTGGTAAAGTTTGAAAATAATAATTTTTAATAAAAGATTAAATATTTAGGAATGGCTTTTTTAACACTTTTTCGTATTGCGACTGGTGATAATTGGAATGGGATTATGAAGGTTCGAAATTTTTTTTGTAATCCTAAAAAGTTTCTTTAACATCAATTAATTTTTAGGACGCATTACGAGATGATTGTGATCCATCGGATCGTTGTGAGGTTACTTGATTTTTATTAATACCCTAACAAACTTCCTTTTATTTTTTTACAGAGAAATTGTTGTGTGGATCCAATTTTAGCTCCATGCTTTTTTGTTATTTTTGTTCTTATATCACAATTTGTTCTTGTTAATGTAGTTGTTGCTGTTTTGATGAAACACTTGGAAGAAAGTACAAAAAGAGATGATGCTGCTGAAGGCAAGAGTTTTTTTTGTTTCATCCAAATCATCCACTCCTTTTTCAGCAAAAGGATTACAAGATTTGGATAAGCCATTGGAGAAAGGACTCACAATAGAAGCTGATTCATCATCACAAAAAGACGACGACGAAGATAAAAGTGAAGAAGAAGATCAGAACGGTGTTGATGATGAGGAAGATGATGCCGATCCATTAGTAGGACAAATTTGTTTTTTAATGATTTTTAATATGTATATTCTAGGGAATTTCTGAAATTGAGAGGGATTTAATTGAAGTTGAGGAATGCCTAGTTCGTTCCGGACAACAATCAGCATCTTTAAGTCTCCCACGTCCATCACTCACCGTATTCGATGTTACTTCACATTTAATGCCTAAAAATGATAATAAAACTCTACGTAGACAACGCTCTTCACCTAGTCAAAGGATTATGGCTCAACATTCATTTAATTCTAATTTTGAAGGCTCAATTCCTACAACAAGATATTCTTTGCGCCAAAAAATGCCTCTTGTATCTTCTAAATTTAATGAAAATGATGGAGATGAAGACGAAGAAGAGGACACTTTAGCAATTTTTGATGAAGAGTTTGGAACAACAACAGAAAGGCAAAGTTTTGGAGCACCAAGTGAGGTAGTTTTAGCTGAAATTGAGGAAAGATTGGAAGAGGATGAGTAAAAGGAAAGTGATATTTGGGTAGGATTTTTTAAATAAATTTTTTATGAAGAGCTTTAATGTACATAATCTTTTTAACTTTTTATTGCTCAATTTTTAAAGAATTATAAAATATAAATTAATTTAATAATAATTGCCTTTGCACATCTCCGTGCTTAAGCAGCAGTCTGCACTTAAACCCAATTTATTATTATTTCCGTTAAATGCGGCACTACTACTTAGGCATGTAAATGGCATATTTTGGCAAAATCTGAGGGAAATGGAAGGATAGTTTAGCAATTAATATTTTTAGTTTTGGGCAATAATAAATTGAATATTATTTGTTTCATTTTAATGAGGATATATTGAATATAAAGCGAAGGATGAGGTTATGTGGCTGGTTGATTAAAATACCTGTATTCCCGACTGCTGCTTTTTCCTCAATTTCATTAACAATTATGATGGTAACGGGCCAAACGCTTGATGCTAAAATAGCGTGGTCCAACGTGGCTGATGGCGCACCTGCCATTTTAGCCCCTCCCAATTATTATGTACATCCAAATAGGGGAGGAAGATTTTGAGTAAAATAAATGGTAAAGAAAGAGAGATTAAATGAGAATAACAACTGATTCAACGAGAACAATTCAATGTTAAAGAAATGCCTAAGAAAGATGATGTGCCTACAAATTATTGGATGTTTAGTTTTTATACAAGTCAATCACATTTAAAAGAAAAAATTGAGGGATGTCTGGTTTCTTTACTAAAGCCATCAACTTCAATGAAACAATTAACATCTGCGCAAACTCACAAATGTCTAGTCAAAAAATGTAAAAAATACTATTTTAAAAGGAGACTGTACAAATCCTAAAAAAGCTTTATGTATCTCAGACAATAACTACAAGAATGTAACAAAAACATGCTTTTAATACAAAAACATTTTTTGACAAATTACTCATGTATCTTCTTTTGAAGGAAGAGTTTAATGAAGATGAGTCGAGATAAGAAAAAGAGAACGAATTCGTATTTCCTTATATGGGCATTTTGTTATTTGTTCCTTTTCGCGTTATAGGCGTTTTGTCTTTTGGGCATTATGTCTAATTCTGCGTTCTTTTCATTTTGTTTAATTTTTCTCTTGTTGACATTTTGACATTGACAATTTGACTTTATATTTTTACAAAATAGTATACTAACGAGAGAAAAAGGGAAACGAAAGAAATTTCGTTTTACTTTTTAGGGGCCAATATTCTGTGAATTAATTTAGAATTTCTATGCTTCCTTTAGATCTTTCACCTCATTTACATACAGATGAATGCAACTTTTTGATTCGTCTATATAAGGAATGTGAGCAAAATATGCCCTTTTTTAGTAAGTTTTGATTAGCGATTAATAATTTTTCAATTTTCTTTTTAGAGCGAGTTGTTTTGCAAGAATGTGATCAATGGAAAATTGCAGCTGCTCACTGCCTTAAGCAAGAAAGGATTTATAGAAGGTTATACTTTGTTGGTTTATTTTTATTTGTTTTTTTTTTCAGAGATACTAATCCCAAATATGCTAAACGGCTTGTTGAGCATCGCCGATTGCCTGAGGATAGATATACACCTACCTTAAAAAGGTTAAAAGAAGAAGGAAAATTAAATCTTGATGAAGAATGTTCTTGTAGGCGTTGACTTATATTCAATTTTTTTGTTTTAATAGTTTGTTTTGTGTATTTAAAAATAATAAAAATTTTTGTAGATTTTTTTTGTTATTAATTTTGTTAAACCTCTACTTATCTTTCACATTCTTTTTTATTACAATATTTTCTTCAAAGATGGAAGCTAATTTCAATTTTAATAACCGGTGTTGTATTGCCCTTTGTCTAGCCAAACAATCAGACATTTCATTTTCTCAAGTTAAAAGTCAATTACTCGGACAGCTTTCTAATGGAATTGAAAATATACCTTTTAATCATAATGTTCGTTCAGCATTGTTATCAACAGGAATTTATCTACTTTATTCATCTGGGAAGGTTTTTTGATTTTAAAAGCCTTTTTTGAGCTTTAATTTTTTAAGCATGTTGAAGCTCTATCAAAATTCTTGTCTGACTCACTTCTTTTACTACCTCAATTGCGGTGGTATGATGATGCTGAAATTGACAAAACAAACAGTTAAATATTTTTTAATTCTAATTTTTCTTTTTTGAAGAAATTACCATTCACGAGCAATTTACATTTTGTTTCAATACAATTCTTGCTGATCTCGCGGCACACTTCCCACATGTTAGGGATTTTATAATTAATTCACAAATTGAACTTTTGGAACAACTTACTTCCAAAATTACCAATTTTAATGAAAAAGAAGACAATCATGAATATGTGGGAGATGAAAGTAAAATTGAAGAAAAAGGTTAATTTGAAATTTATTTAAGTATCATCTTTTATTTTTAAGGCGATTTGATGAAAATTGCCTGTATAACAATTGGCCTATTGCGATCGATGGGCCGATTTAGTGATCAACTTTCTTCACCACTTTTTTCATTTATCTATCCAAAACCTTTCGATATACTTTCTAAAAGAAACGACGACGAACAGCAATGTACATCAAGCTTAAGTTAATTTTTAGTTAATTTCCTTTTTAATTTTTTAAAGACTTAAAATACTCAATTTCTTGAATTTATATTATTTCTATTTTAGTTTGAATACTGACTCTTCCAATTGGTTTTGGAATGATCAAAAAACAGAAGAATCTAATCTTCAACGCAAATTATTTACTCGACATGGAAGCAGTTTTGTTAATACAAGAAGGAAAGGAACAGCAAAATTTTCGTATTGTTTTGATGAAATTTGTCGGTTGAATGTTAATGTTTGTTAGTTTTTGAAATTTATGAATTAATTTGCTATTTTTAGATCAAAAAACTTTTAAATTTTGATTTCTTGAAGAAACTGGATTTGTATTCCGAACAAGTTTTTCAGAGCGCTGAATTACGCAAATTTCCTTACAAAACAATTTCTGAAACTTTTATTCTTGTTTCACTTACATTTTTGAGAGATATTTTAACTAATTTTACAATTGGAGAAAAGGATGGTGATATTTCAGAAAAATTTGCTAATGAGGTTGTTTGACTTTTTTTAATTTTTTTGGTTAAGTTCGCTTTTAAAAATTTATTTTTTAGCTTAACGATTTTACCCTTTCAATTTTTAAATATTGCCAAGAAGCAATAACTGTTCAAAGTCAATTAGATGATCGATCGCAATCAAATACAATTGATAAGAGGGCAAAAAATAATGCTTACAGAAGTACAATTCTTGATAAAGAAATTGTTGTTAATCGTGTAAAAATGTTGGTTATTGGCAACTCAATTTGTTTGGAATTAATTGTATGGAGTTCTACTGACGAAAATGGTTTATTAAAAATTATTTTGTTGTCGTTTTTAATTTAAAAATTTTTTAAAGATGGTGATATGATTTGTGGAACAATTTCTGACAAAATGTGGATGCCACACAAACATGTATTGGCTCATATGCCTGTTAATGTTATGGCTCTTGAAGCATTGGGAAGTATGTCTGAAAAGTTTCCAGCTTTGGCAAATACATTAATTATCAGTTTGTTATGTAAATTTTTATTGGAACCTTGTCCAATTCTTCTCAAAATTTCATCTGAACCAGTAAAATTTTAAAATATTTTAAATTTTATTTAAAATTTTTAGAAATCAAAGAATGACCAACAACAAGAATCTCGAGGGCGAGTTGAAATAATTGCTGCAAGAAAAAGAATTGGTCTTTCTAGCCTTCGCTCTTCTGCAATTAATTCACTCTCACGGTTATTTAAAAAAAATTTTTTTGAAGAATAAAATTGTTTTTAGTGCTTTAAAATCTGCCATGACAATCGATAAAAATAGACTACAAGCCTGTTTTACAACTTTATCTTCACGTCTTTATACTATTTTGTCTGAAAATGACAGGTTTTTCTTTAATAATATATATAATTTTTTTAAATAGTAAATTAAAATTATTTAAGGAATTCTGTTTTAATTTCTGAGAATGTTATTAGTACATTGGGAAAATTGGGTGTTTCTTTTATGGATGATCCAACATCTTCTGAGCAAATATTCCAGGTTAACTTTTTATTTTTTAATACCTATCTCTTTCTTTTTAGATTTTTTATCAACGATTTTCGAATCCACCTTCTCAATTGGATAATCATATCATTTCTTCTTTGGCAGATATGTGGATTTCTGGAACGGTTAATTAATTTTTATTTTTAATTTATATATTTTTAGAAAATTATTTATGATAAAATAATGAAATTATTTACGTTAGTAACAATTGAATCAAGTAGCCGTGTTTATTCAACAGATCCAACATCTAGCAGATTTTCGTATGTCTCTTGTAAATTTTTTTAAATATTTATGTTTTTTAAGTCATGTTACACTTTCTGTTGATAATGCTTTGGCAAGAATTGCATGTTCAATTGAATCTGAGGAACAAAAAATGACTTTTCTAATAAACTTACTTGAGCTTTTTATTCAATTGGGACTTGAAGGCGAACGTATTGGAGAGAAAATGCATAAATTCACTGTTAAGGTCAGAGTTATTTCTTATCTTTTAATTAATTTTTCATTAAGAAATCTGCTGGCGCAGGCAATTTGGGTGTTCTTATTCCTAAAATTAATTCTTTATTGGATCGAATGGAACCGATAAGAGACCCTTCAATTCGACTGAAAAATCATTTTAGAGATTTTTGGTTTTATTGTGTGATTCATGGTTTTGCATTTCCTTCAGGTATTTTTCAATTTACTTTTCAATTATCTTTTTTAAAGGATTATGGCCAGAGGAATGGTATAAAGCTATTTGTAAAATTGCAGTCAAATCGCCAACTCTTTTACCTATTGATAATTTTAAAACTGAAATGATTGAAAATACAGCAATAAAATTGCAAGGAATTACGCAGGTTGATTTTTTTAATTTAAAATTTTTGAATAATATATTGCTTTTAAGGCAGAACTTTTGGAAGTACGTAATTTACTTTCAACAGAATTTAAACAAAATGCAGAAGTTTCAACAATTATTTCAAGACTTGATATTGGTTATTGTGTTTATTTATTAGCTATTTGTCGTCTCGAAAAAATGCGTGTAAGCAATTCAGAGCAATTGGATTCTATTAGATCTAATTTTCTTTATCTTGAAAACAGGTTAATATTTTTAAGAAATTTCAATATTTGTTATTTTTAGAGGTGTACGAAAAGACAAAACAGGAATTTGGCAATGTCTTTTGGCTAGTTCTATAATTATTTTTGACGAATTTCTTTCAGTAAGAATGAGAAAAAATTCAACAAATGATTCAAAAATAAGAAAGGAATTGGAGGTATAATTCTAATTATTTTTTAATTTTTAGTAAAACATTTTTAAAGGTTATGTCACAATATTTGCTTGTTCAGTTTAACAATATTTTGCGTGAAATTCGGCGAGTTGCCGACGTTTGTTTGGCAAAATTAATTGATTCATTTCCTTTTCTCCTTTGGAGTGGAACTGTTTTGACTACAGCTCTTCAAATAATGAAATCTTTAATTAAAAATATTGAGGAAGATGCTTGTTGTACACAATCTACAATTGAATTTCCGCAAATGGGTTTATCAATACAGTTACAGGTTTGATTTTTTTGAAATGGCGTGAAAAATATTTTTAAGGACACATTGGATGGACGTAAATCTGTTGCTAAAGATTTTACTAAAAGGTGTGAACAAATATTATGTGAAGCAGTTAAATGGGCTCCAGGGCTAACAAATAGCCATTTACTGGAGTTTATACGTTCTGCTGATTCAATTACTGACAAAAGCCTTCGTCTTACAATCAACACTGTTTTGGCTTGTACTAAACGTGAAATGATTAATTCTCTTTTTGTTGGAGGCACAACATCATCTGCAATGTTTACTACAACGTCAACAACTAATACTGATTCAGTATCTATCGGAAGCATTATGATAAGTAAATAATTTGATATTTCATGTTAATTTAATTAAAAAATTTTCCACTTTTATTAGGCACCGATAATCTTGTAAGTAGCGGACCAGTTGATATTTCAACATATTTGTCTGCTTTAAATCAACGTTCGGATTATTTGGGTCAAATTAAAGGAATGTTTGAAATGATGAAGAAACAAAATTATATTTATAATCCAGACATTTGTGTTGATATTGATGAAGCTACTCATAAATCACTTTCGGATTATCTTGAAGAACAATTTGAAACAGCTTTAAAAACGAATGAACCAAATTGTTTAGAAAAGCCTTTACAATTAATGACTGCTTATTTTATGGTTTGTAAAGGTTTGAGAAAAAATATATTTAATTAAAGCTTTTAATATTTTTTTAGAAATTAATCAAAAAATACTTCGGTCAATTATTCTTGCACCTTTTCGACATTTTACAGAACAAACTATGCGTCTTTGTGTAATATGTTGGAATTGGATATTAGCTACTAGAGAGGATATACAAATTGATGTTTATTTTAAAATTTTATATTTAATTTAATAAATCTTCAGTTTCTTCAACAAATGTCAACCTGTTGGGAGCTTGTTGCTAAACGTTCTATGGGAATTTTTAATCGTGATTTTGATAAATTTGATAGTCCAGTTTCTATAGAAAATGCTTTAAAGAGGCCGCATGCAGATACAGGACCGCATAATATTTGGATTAATGTAATGTTTTTTTAAATAATTTTCATGATTAATTTATTAGAATATAATTCAGTTTCTTGCCCTTATATCATTTAAAACATTTTTAGTTTTTAACTGAACGAGTTAGTCTGGCAAAATATTGTGGACAAGAGCAGAATGATCTTTTAGAAATGATGTTTCTGAAAACTTTTTCAATGCAAGTTGGTGATAATTCCCCTGTGCCAAATTTAGCTATCGACAAAATTATGTTTTCATCATCTTTCGATGCTAAGACTAAAACACGTAAATTTCTTTTTAAAACAATTTTAAGATTTAAAATTTTTAGCACTTATTTCAAGAAATATTAGTGCTTTGGGTCCTCGATTTCGCTTACTTTCGGCAGCTCTTACAATGGTTCAAGGTGAAGCTGGTGGATCAAAAATTTCTAAAAATGTTCTTAGACAACGAATATATTCTGTTGCTTTTGACTATTTTACTGTTGCACCTCAAACGCCTTTACATAGAGGACATATTCTTCAAAATGATATAACAAGTCTTGTTGGGTTTTGGCAGGCGTTGTATGCTGATTCAAAATATATTAGAAGAGAAACATTTACAACAAATGGTTGATTATTGAGTTTTTTTAAATAAATTTGATTATTTTCAGATCCTGAATTAAGTTTTACAAATCTACAGCAAATAGTTAATAATGTTCAATATTCAAATGAGGCTTCCAAGTAAATTTATTTTTATATAGCTAGAATATTTATGAAAATATTTTTTTTTCAGATTCCAAACGTGGAATTCTATGCCTCGTGCCTCTTCTGTTTGGTCAAATGCTGCAACGATTTCTGAAAGTCGTAATCATGCAGCTGGAGTGGTTGTTTCTTCTAATGCAGATTCTCTTGGCAGACCACAGAGTAAGACTAACGGTGAAATTGCTCAACTAATTGATAAGCAAATGAAAAATCTTTTGAGAAAACGGCAGCTTATTTTGATATATTTGGTAAATAATCATTCAAAATTTTTAAAAAATATTTTACATTTGAAGATCAATGAAATTGAGAGATTATATGCTTGGTTATATCCTCGCGGAGATTTATTAGAACCTGGAGAAGTGGAATTTGATCAATATTTGAAGAATACTTTAGGTGGTGAGCTTCAATCTAAACCTGATCAAAAACAAATGAGAGAAAATGCCAAATTTGCATGGGAGATTTCACCTGAAATGGCTGTTCATATGGCTTCAAGGTTTTCTGCTAATAAAATAAAAATTCTTATAAATTTATCAACTTGTAGGTTTCGAATGTATTCTATCGTCAACATTGTTTTGCAAGAATTGGTTCGAGCATATCCAGAGGAAGTTTCACATATGCCGGAAGCTTTGCCTCTGTTTCTTGGGGATCCACTTACAAACTATGAAAGAATTGAGGTTTATAATTTCTGACATTATAATGAGGGTTTATTCTTAATTTTTAGTTAACTCATCTTTTGACATGGGCTCGTTGTTCTCCAGTACAAGCTCTTTCTCTGCTCTGCCCTCGTATTCATAGTATACACCCAATTAGTATTAAATATGCTGTTAGAGTTTTAAAATCTTATTCATGTGATGTACTTATTCAATATATACCTCAACTTGTACAAACAGTTAGATGGGATTATGTAAGTATTTTTCAAGTTTTGGAATTTAATTTTTGAATATTTTTTTTATTTCAGAATGGTTTTATTGCAAATTTTATTCTTCATTTAGCAGCACATTCTCAGCCATTAGCTCACCAACTTTTATGGAACATGCATTCAAATATGTATATTGATGAAGAAGCAAAAGTAGAAGATCCAATTATGTATAAACCACTCAAAGAGATTGTTAATAAGGTTTATTTTATTTAGTAAATTAAATCGATTTTCTTTCCAAGATTTTGAGTCGTTTGGAAGGAGCAGCACGTAACTTTTACTTGAGTGAATCTGATTTTGTTGATCGAATAACAAACATTTCTGGCATTATAAAATCTGTTCCAAAAGGAGAAGCTCGCAAAAAGGCTTGTTTTAAAGCATTGACAGAAATTAAGCTTACATCAATTGTGTACTTACCATCAAATCCGGATTATATTTTACTTGAAATTGATTATCCTTCTGCAAGTCCAATGCAAAGGTTTTTCTTTTTAATAATTTGAATGGTATAATTTTTTACATTTAGTGCTGCAAAGGCTCCTTATCTAGTCCAATTCAAAATGCGATATTGTGGGGTTGAATCTGTTGAACGAATTGCTTTAGAAACGTATCAACAAACTACACCAGAACATGTAACAACAAACAGCAAAGGCCATCATCGAAAATCATCGAAAACTAAAAATCTTTTAAATTTTTCACCTTCTCATTCATCTTCAAAAAATGATTCAAATAACTCTTTATTAGAGGCTTCTCCAATATTGACAACTTTATCTAAAGAAAATTTTGTAATTGATGGAGTTTCATCACCTTGTGGTACAAAATCAATTACAATGAAATCAGCAATATTTAAAGTATTTTTAATTTTTCTTATTGTTTTTATTTTTTGTAAGGTTGGTGATGATGTTCGTCAAGATGTTTTGGCACTTCAATTAATGCAACTTATTGAGAAAATTTGTAGAACGGCAAGCATAGATATTCAATTATTTCCATATAGAGTAGTTTCTACAAATCCTGGATGTGGTGTGATTGAATGTGTTCCTGATTCGAAGTCTAGAGATCAGCTTGGCAGACAAACTGATTATGGTTGATTTGGGTTTTTTCACTAAAATTAAAATATTTCTAGGTTTATTTGAGTATTTTGTCACTAAATATGGAGATGAAACTACCAAAGGATTTCAACATGCTAGGTTAGTTAAGCACTTATTAATTAATAGATAAATATTTGTAATTCTGTAGGAGGAATTTTATCAAAAGTATGGCTGCATATAGTGTGTTTAGTTTTCTCCTCCAAGTAAAAGATAGACACAATGGCAATATTATGTTGAATTCTGGTGGATCAATCATTCACATTGGTATTTATTAGAATCTCTTAGAATAGGATAATTTTTATTCTTTAGATTTTGGATTCATGTTTGAAAGTAGTCCTGGTGGAAATTTAGGATTTGAGCCTGATTTCAAATTGTCACAAGAAATGGTTGATATAATGGGCCACAGAGCGGACTCTGGACCTTTTCGAGAATTTGCTGACAAATGTGTTCAAGTTTATTTGGCAACTCGTCCTTATTATAATGTATTTTTTACAATGGATTTTTTAAACAACTTTTTTAAGGATTTTATTGCACTTGTTTCAATGATGTTAGATACAAAATTGCCTTGTTTTAGAGGAAAAACAATTCAACAACTTCGAAGCAGGTTAAAAAACATTCTTTAAAAAATTAGAAAATATTTTTAAAAAATATTGGCATATAATATTTTCGAATTTTTAAGATTTGCACCTGAAGCCACTGACAGAGAGGCTGCAAAATATATGATGAGTATAATAAATAGTTGTTATACAAATGTCAGATCAAAAATGTATGATCAAATTCAATTTCTTCAAAATGACATTCCCTATTAATGTAAATATTAGATGCCATATATTTTTTAAAAATATTTTTTTAATAAATATATTTTAATTTTTGTATATTTTGTTTCAACATTCGGATTATCCGTTTAATCATATTTTTTCATCGGATTTTTAAAAATATTCTCGCAATAATATTATGAGCAACTAGAGAGATTTTTATTAAAATAACTTAATAAAATTTTTATGAGATTATATTTAATTGTTTATAATGCGAGATTTGTTTTATATTGAGTAAAAAATAAAAATAATCTCTAGTTGTTTATACATATATTTTAAAAAATTCCTTTTTTTTTAATTTAATTTTGTCTAGTTTGGAAATTGTTTGTTATGTATTTTTCAGGTTAAAAAATTATAATTAATGACATTTACATGACACTCATACAAAATGATGAAAACAAAGTTCCTGGGCATCATTCACTTACTCTTCAGGCTGATACAATAGAAGATTGGCCTCTTCCTGCGATTTCTATTGCGCATCCTTTATCGGTAAGTAAATCAGTAAATGAACGGAGCAACGGTTGGGGGACAGATTTTTTCCTCTTAATTTTATAAAACGGTGAATTTAAGAGGCAAAATTGCTCAATAAAAAATGGTGTTTGTAAAATTGTAGGCTAATTAGTATAGGTTTTTCATGAGTTGGTAAAAGGAGTTACAATTAATTAATCAAGGCCAATTTTAATGAACGGTAAATTCAACCAAATTGATAAGGATAATGATCTAAGGTTTCGATCTCTGAGAACCTGTTTCTTTATATAATATTCGATTAAGATTGAAAATAAATCAAAATTACTCAATTCTATTTTTGAAGTATCTTTTTTAAATTTTCTGTTCAATGGTATCAAGAACAAACACTTGAGGGTTCTCTTTTTTATCTAAATATTAAGAATAATTTACGAATAATTTTATAAAAATGGGAGGGGAACTCTCAATTTTAATGATTTCATCCTTAATTCTATCCTTCTTTAAAAGACACCTACTTACAATAAAATTATTTTCAGATGCCAACCCTAATGAATGATAAAAGAAAAATTCACCCATTACAAGCAACTCAGGTTTCTACTATTTCTGATGGTAAGTAAAAAATATGTAAAAGAATTTTTAATTTATTAAAATTTTAAGAATTTGGACAACGTAGATCCATCAGTTCACATAGTGATTTGAACAAATTGGGACACGAGGAAACCAGTCTTTATGGAGGCCTTAAAATACAGACGAACAACATTAATACAAAAACAAATGGTATTTTTTGAACTTTTTTGAATAGATTAACTTTAATTTTTTAGAATCTCCAAAGCAACAAAACAACATCAGCGATCCAGTTATCATCCTCGATAATTTAAACGATTTAAAACAACATTCAATAAATTCTCGTGCTTCTTCTCAATCAACAGCTCCAATTTATAGCAGGCATTTAACGCTTTCACTTCAAAGACAACAACATTCAAGTACGCCAACACCCTCCTTTCAATCTCCTGGCGGCGGCAATTTACCTTCTTATGCTACAATAACACGTCTTCATAAATTGTGGGTTTATTTAAATTTAAAAAAATTTTTTAATGAGTAATTCCCCGCGAATTTGTTTGACAAAAACAAACAAAAAATCAGTGTCTTTTAATTTCTTAAAATTTATTTTTAAATTGTATTTTTCATTAAAAACATCTAACATGTATTTAGTCTTTACGCTCAACTATATAATTAATTAATCATTTATGTTTTTTATATTTTAATCACTTTAAAATATTTTTTTATCGTCTCTCTCTTCTCCTTTTAGTAAAAGTTGTGTTCCTCTTTTAAGGTCGTTAATTTTTCTCTCTTTTTTTGAGTTCAATTTTTCATCAACAAAATATATCTTTTTTTATATCAAACTCTATATGTAAACAATTAAAAAAAATTCTTACCTTTTTATATATTAGATAAGAGATCGATTTCCAAAAAAACATCATTCTTTTCTTTTTTCCCACCCTCATACTCCACCTTCCATCGAGGGGTGTTCTTATTACTCATTCTTATTTTATTTTATTGATTAAATTAGCAAAAAAAGTTATTTCCAGCCTCTTTAAATATTCTGATTTTTTAAATATTTGGCCTTTAATTAATAATCTATTTTATAATTAATTTTTTTCTTGCACAATTTGTTCTAATTTTTAAATATTTAATTTTTCCGAAATTTCTCATTACTCATTTTACACATAATTTTCACGTGTTCTTAATACTATCTTCAGCTATATTATTTTTAAATTTCTCTCTCTAGAAATCAATTTTTTCTAAATCTTAAATTAAAATGACAACGACCGATCATCATCGAGCTTCTTTTTCCACCCTCACATTTGAATCATTACAATTGCCTCTTTCTATTCCACCAACATTAAGAAAAGAACATTCTTCATCCTTTTCTTCTACTCATAATATTTTCACATCTGATGATGATTTGTTCATTTCGGCCAAAAGCTCGCTTAATAATTTTGGATCTCCTCCACCACCACCCTCGTCGAATTTTCCACCACCCTCACATTCCAATTCAACATCTCACTTGCCCACTTACATTAATCAACAATGGAAGAAGGTGGAGGAAGAACAAGAGCAAGAAGAAAATAACTGCATTTTAAATAATAATAATTTTCAATCAAAATCAAATTTTACTACTTTAACAACAAATTCTTTGTCACAAACAGCAATTATGAATTCTCAAATTATTCGAAATAATTCTTCAAATTCACTTACCAATTCATCATTAACTTATCAAAATAATAGTGATGGTAATAAAACGTTATGCAGTGGCTCTATTATGAATATTCCAAATGGGGTTTTTCATCCAATCGCTGCTAAACGATCATATGTTGGAATTAATAATGGTAGTAATGGAAGCAATAACGGTCTTAATCAAAATAATCAATCATTTCTTCCTCTTCTATATCAACAGCAGCAGCAACAACAAAGTAGCCGATCTCCACTTTATACAGCTGCATTAACAAATCTTCAACAGCAACAACAAATCGATAGTTTTCCATTAATAAATCAACCTTTAATAAATCAACAATCAAAGAAAAATAGTTCAAGCAACAATTTATTTATTGGTCCAAAGATAGCAATGAGTACAGCAACGGCAATCGCTGTTGCTATACCTCCTTTTTCTCAAACTTCGGGAGGGGGAAGTTGTGGGGAAAGTTTGGCAGGTGACAGTACTAATGGTGGTGGGGGTGGAATTGGAACTCCAACAAAATCATCAAAATCACAAATTAAATCTAGGAGCGCATTTTATACGCCTTATCATCTTGAACCTATCCAAAAGTCGTTTTTATCTTGTTAATTTTTATAATATTTTTTATAGGCATCGAGGCGAACTGTCAATCAACGAAAAATATCGTTATGATTTGAGTCGAGCTCAGTTGAAGGCGTCTTCTCGAACATCTGCACTTCTTTCTGGCTTTGCAATGGTAGGAAATTTTGACGAGAAAAAATTATTTTTAACTTTTTAGATTGCACTAGTCGAATTGCAATATTTGCCTGATACACCAAAGCCTTTACTGATAATGTTGGGAGTCGTTACTACATTGTTAGTTTCTGTTCATTTATTGGCTCTAATGATGTCAACATGTCTTTTACCTTATATAGGTTTTTTAATTTTTAGAAAAAATATTTTTATAAAAATTTTGTAGAAGCCAATGGATGTACTCAGGATTCTCCACATATTAAATTAAGGTTCTTTTTTGTATAAATAAAAAAATAATTTTTTATGTTATTTTTTAAAGATTTTATATTGAACTTTCTTGGTTTTTCTCTACTTGTGTTGGACTTTTACTTTTTCTTCTTGAAATTGGTGTTATTTTCTTTGTAAAGTTTAATGCAATTGGGTATATATTTGCTGCCTATATTACAACAGGAATGCTTGGTTAGCGTTATTTTTTTCTTTTTTAAATATTTTATTTTAAAATTACAGTTCCTGTTTTAATTATTTTTATTGTCATCTCCTACTTAATACATCGAAATCGGTTTTAATTTTTATTTTTAAATATTTTTTTTCTTTTCCTTTTAAAGGTTTACCCATTCAATTGAAAGAGTAAGTGACAAAGTTGTCGATTTACAAAAATATTTATGTGAGGCAGAGGCTGGAAATATTCAACATGCTCCTTCAACAATTAAAAATAGTGGTATTGGAGTAAATAATTTGAGAAATTACAAGGAATGTTAAAAAAATTTTTTAAAAATTGTAACGAAATTTAGCTCTTTTTTACCCAGAAAATTAACACACTTTAAATTGTTTAATGCCAAAATTTCAGGTTTAAAAAATTATTTTCTGTACCAATTTCTTTTTTAGTAATCCATTAAGAATTTTTTGGGTTTTTGGTTTATAGTGTGTTTCTATAGAATTGATTCAAAGTTTTTTTATGTTCATTCCAAAAAATGCCTTTTTCTTTTTTAAATAGATTTAATATTTATTTGTCTCTTTGTTTTTTCTTTTCTTTTAAAATTTTTATTTGTTTTTAAGTATGTAAATAAAAATATATTTTATAAAATTATTATTTAATGGAAAAATGAATGTTTTTATACATTTAAATATTTTTAAATTTTATTTTAATTTTCTAAAAAACATGTCTCTTTTATTAGTTCAATTTTCTGGAGGACATTTGCTGTTTGATTGGAAGATGCTTTTTCCTTTTGGCAATATGAATGGATGTTAAATGTTTCCATGGCAATTTTTTATCATCAAAAGAAGAGGTTTTTTTAAATGAAGAATGCTTTATCTATGCAATATGTATATAAAAAATAAATGTAAACGTTAATGGACAGAATGAAAGAATGATGCTAATGTGTGAAGGTGGGTTGAAAGGGGCGGCAAAAATATATAGAGAATATTTAAAAGGGGTAAAAAGGTTTTTTAATAATCGCTAATGGATTTCTTACATTTTAGAGAAGGAATTTGTCATTTTTACAATATTTTTTTGTCAATCCTCTATAAAGCTTGTAGATTCTTTAAATAAACGGGAAGAATATATTTTTGCCGCCAGAATATTTGCTATTTTATTGGGGGGGGGGGGGGGGGTGCCATTCTTTTAACAGGACTGGTTAAATTTTAAAATTTAAAATTTTTAATTTCTGGGCACTAAAAAGCTAAAAAAATTTATTAAAAGGATTATTTCTAAATCTCTTTACTCTATTAAAAGTATTAAGAAAAATTTTTTTACTTGCAATTAATTTATTAATCCTCCCCCTTTTTATTTTTTATATTTAAAAAAGTGTTGTTTTATTTTATTAACACCCACATTTTTGAATCAGAAAAGTTTCTCTCAATTAAAAAACTTCCTTCTTTATTTTTAAATTATTATCGGGTTGTTAAGTTCTTTTCTTATTTAAAATACGAATTTATTTTTTGTAGCCTTTATTATTCTTCTCTCATTCTTCAATGGTATTATTTCGTTTACTACAAATATGCTTCTTATAAATTTTGACAAAAATGAGAAAAAACAGCAATATTGATGCTCAAAATGATGCAGCAAATAATTCCCAGCCGAAAAGAAGAAGACGATCACCATTTGAAAGTAACAGAATTGCTGATACAAGTGGTATTCAACAGGTTTTGTAAATAATTTTGTTAAAACTAAAAGATATTTCTCTTGTTTTTTAGCCAACAGATCGTCAACGTATTTTTTCTGCTCGATTGTTTTCTGCTTCACAAAGTCGCTCGCCTTTTAATACTGACCAGGAACAACAACCAAATACAAGTAATTACCAACACCATTTAACACCAACAACATCAAGTAATAATAATCAATGGTTAAAGCAACAAATTCCGACGAGAGGATGGAAAAAGCATTTGGCCAGAGAAGCAGTTTCGGACAATGAGGATGATAAACACTTTGATGATCGGGTAAGATTTCAGCATATTTTCTTTTAAAATATTCCTTTCCAGAAAATTGTAAACTCATTTTTCCGGAAAAAATATAAATTTATTTTCTTTCCGGAAAATTGTAAACTTAATTATTTTCCGGAACGATTATTTATTTTATTTTCTTTCCGGAAAATTTGTAATTAATTTATTTATTTCCGGAAAATTGTAAACTTATTTTTCCGGAAAAAATGTAAATTTATTCATTGTCATTCCGGAAAATTGTAAACTTATTTATTTGTCCGGAAAAAATATAAATTTATTTATTTTCTTTCCGGAAGAATTGTAGATTTAAAATTGTAAACTTATTTTTTGTAATTTTATTTTCCGGAAAAATGTAAAAGTTTCTAATTAAAAATTGACTATTTTTATTTCTTTAAATTAAAAGGATAACGATGAACAACATAAAAACCAACAAAATGAAGGACAATTCAAAATAAAAACAACAGAGGAATTAGAGAAAATTCATTTTGAAAAATTAAAAAATTATAATGAAAAACGAAGAAGAAAAAACTTAAAACAACAACAATCTTTAGACATTGATAGTTTTCAAAAAAATAATAAAAGAAGAAGAAAAATAACAAAAGTTGAACCTTTAAGATTTTCGCCGCAATCAACATTTAGAGAAGAAGATTATTCTAATGATGGCAATGAAATTAAAAAACCTTTTAGTTCAACATTGGATATACAATTGGCTGAACCTAGAAAGGTATAAATTTTCTTTTAAAAATTTTTTAAATTCTTTGTTTTTTATTATAGAGAAGCAAAAGTATTAATTCTAAAAATATTTCTGAAAGTATTATACCTTCAACTTCATTAAGTGTAAATATTTCTATAGAAAATAAAGAAGAGAATAAAGTTGTTTCAACAACAGAAGAAAAAGAAGAAAATATTAAAAGAAATGGTTCTATTCAAAGTGGAATATCCCCAATGGAAGATTTAAATATTATATCGAAGATACCAACACCTCCAATAATTACAATAAGTAGTCCACAGCAACAACAAAGAAAGATATCAATACAACAACAACATCAGCAACAAGGATCGTCTTTAGCTATTAATGAAGAACAGCAACAAAAAAGAATACCTACGCAAATGAATCCTTCGCTAATTAAAGGACTTTCTAAGGTTCTTTTTATTTATAAGATTTTTTTATAATTTTTATTTTTAGTCGATATCAAGATTTCGCAATAGAAATCGAATAATGGATGAGAATTCGGTAGAGCAAGCCAATTTCATGTCAAAATTTGGGATGTCTGGAACTGGAATACAGGTTTTTAAAGTTAATTTCCTACTATTATTCTTTTTATTTTAAAGCCTGGCAATGCTACTGATCAACAAAGCAACAGTAATGATAGAAGTAAGTGGCTTTCTAGTGTTGTTTTTGATTCGAACGATCCAGGTTTTTATTTGTCTCGCAACATATAGGTACATATGTATTTTAGAGTATTATCATTGGATTGCTTTAGTCTCAATTGCTTATGTCTACAATCTTTTGGTTTGTTTTTTTAATAAATATTGAAAGCCCTTCGTATGTGGATTTTTATTCATGGCAGCATCGATCTGATCGGATCATTGATTGCTTGCACTTATTTGATTAATTTAAGGTCGTCATAGCCAGGGTTGTCTTTATTGATTTGGCTGCTGGTCGTTTATGGATACTTTGGTTAATACTTGACCTTTTGATGGATTCCTTTTATGTTGCTGATATGTTTGTCCGTTCTCGTACAGGTTTGTCTTTTTCTCTTATTTTGTAGTTTTTAATTTTTAAGTTTAGGTTATTTGGAGCAAGGCCTTCTCGTTCGTGATTGTGCCAAAATTCGTTCTCTGTACCTTAGAAGTCGGCAGTTTTTGGTTATTTTTAAATTAATCTTTGAGTAGTTAGTTTTTGGGATTCTTAATGTTTTGTCCCGTGGCCAAGGTTTTTGTTTTCTTTTATTTTTAAATTTTTTTAGGTCGACATTGCTAGCCTATTGCCAATTGATCATTTTTGTTTAATTATACTTTGGAGGTCATTTCCTATTTTTCGATTGAATCGTTTGCTTAAAAATGAAAGAATTCAACGTTTTATGGAGCAAACTGAAACTCGAACTTCAATGCCCAATGCTTTTAGAGTTGGAGTTGTTGTTTGGTATATTGCTGTTATTATACATTGGAATGCTTGGTAAATACTACTAATTTTATTACAAAAATTCTTTTTAAATTTTAGTTTTTATTTCCTAATTTCTGAAAGTATTGGTTTGGGAACAGATCCATGGGTATATGGTGCTCAAAATAAACAAAGTCTGCCTGATGGAATTAATGATACTTTAACTAGAAGATATATTTACAGGTTTTTTTCTAATTTTAATTAAATTATTCGGATTTTTTTTTTAGTTTTTATTGGTCGACATTAATTTTAACAACAATTGGTGAAGTGCCTGGACCCCAGCAAAATGTAGAGTATGCATTTGTGACTGTCGATTTAATGTGTGGAGTACTTATATTTGCTACAATTGTTGGAAATGTTGGAAGGTTTGATAATTTTAACTTTATACATAACACTCAGTTTTCAATTTTTTAGTATGATCTCAAACATAAGTGCCGGACGAACAGATTTTCAAAATAGAATTGATTCTATAAAGCAATATATGGATCTACGAGGAGTTGGAAAACAGGTTTTTTAAACTTTCCAATTAAAGATTTTTTTAATTTCAAGTTGGAAAATCGTGTCATTAAATGGTTTGATTATTTATGGGCTAATAAGCAAGGCTTAGCTGATGCTCAGGTGCTGAAGGTTTTACCTAATAAATTACAAGCTGAAATTGCAATGCATGTTCATTTTGAAACTCTTCGTAAAGTGCGAATTTTTCAGGTTGATTTATTTTTAATATCTATTTAGTTATTTTCTAAAATTTATTAGGATTGTGAAGCAGGTTTATTGGCGGAGTTGGTACTCAAATTGCAACTACAAGTATTTAGTCCAAATGATTATGTTTGTCGTAAGGGTGATATTGGACGAGAAATGTATATTGTTAAGAGGTTTTATTTGTTTTTTACTTTTTTAATTTGAATACTTTAAAAGAGGCATGCTCCAGGTTGTAAGTGATGATGGTTCTAAAATATTTGCTACATTATCTGAAGGTGCTGTCTTTGGCGAATTGTAAATTTTAATTTATCTTTTAATTTTAATTATTTCACTTTTTTTATTTGGATCTATACTAAACATTGCTGGAAGTAAAAATGGAAACAGACGCACTGCAAATGTTCGATCGGTTGGATATACTGATTTGTTTGTTTTGAATAAAGTTGATCTTTGGATAGGTTATTTGCTTACATTAGAATATCTCTTAATTAATTTTCAGCTTTGAGAGAATATCCTGAAGCTAGAAAAATTCTTATAAACAAGGTTATTATAAAATTAATTTAATATGAATTCAAGATTATTTTTTTGAGGGTCGTGAATTATTGCGGAAAGACAATCTTTTGGATGAGAATGCTCCCGAGGAACAAAAATCAGCGGAAGAAATGACCGAAGAATTGCAGTCTTCTGTTAGAATTCTTCAAATTAGGTTTGTAAATTAATTAGTTGGTCTAATTATTTGGTTCGCACAATTTTTGGACTATTTTTTGCAGATTTGTCCAAATTAAAAAAAGTTCTCAATCGGTGGTCTGGCCTAATATTTAAATTTTTCAGGGTTGCAAGACTTCTAGCAGAACACACAAACACAGAAACAAAACTTAGAGAACGGATATCTTATTTGGAATCAAAACTTCGAAAATATGCTGTCCTGGCAAAAGAAAAGGAAGCTCAACTAGAAGATGAAAATTCTAATCAATTTGAAGATGAAGGAAATTAAATTAGAATTTTAATGCGCCTTTTTTAAATTTAAATAATGAATTTTTAGTTTATAAATGCTCAACTTTTTATTACAGAGTTTTACAAATTTTTAAAAATCAATATATCGATTAGTATTGATTTTATCGATTGATATCGATTTTTTGAAAATTTAAAATTTCTTAAAAATAAATTATTGATTAGTATTGATTTTATCGATTAGTATCGATTTTTTGAAAATTTAAAATTTTTGGAAAATAAATTATCGATTAGTATTGATTTTATCGATTGATATCGATTTTTTGAAAATTTAAAATTTTTGGAAAATAAATTATCGATTAGTATTGATTTTATCGATTAGTATCGATTTTTTGAAAATTTAAAATTTCTTAAAAATAAATTATCGATTAGTATTGATTTTATCGATTAGTATCGATTTTTTGAAAATTTAAAATTTTTGGAAAATAAATTATCGATTAGTATTGATTTTATCGATTGATATCGATTTTTTGAAAATTTAAAATTTTTGGAAAATAAATTATCGATTAGTATTGATTTTATCGATTGATATCGATTTTTTGAAAAATAAATATTTTTGAAAAACAAATTATCGATTAGTATTGATTTTATCGATTTTTAAAAATTGCTCTCTCAAGACTCAAATGACCGGAATATTAATTTTCATCTCTACCACACTATTTCTTTTTTTGTATTTCTCTAACTTCGGGGACAAAGTGTCATTTATTTCAAATTATTGCAGTACGCCAAATTAAGTGTCGCTTTAAATTCGCGTTTCTTACTTCTTTTCAAGGTGTTTTCCCCGTGAGTACGAAGAATTTCAAAAACTTTTAAAATCGGTATTTTTATTGTAAAATCAGATATCACATTATAATAAAAAATCAAAAAGATAATGTTGAACACAAAAGTTTATTTTTCAGCAAACACAGGCCCATCACTTCTCGGCATTGAAGAATTTCTGTTTGATCTCGATCTCTAAAAAATATTTTTAATGGTTAAAAAACAATAGTTAAAAACAACCCATTTTTTATTTGAAATTTGGGAATAGAAGAGGCCATGTGGACAGATAAAAAGAATTTTATTGAATTTTGGAAAATGATTAGATCAATCGATCTAAAAAAGAAAATTAAATTTAAAAAAATAAAAAAACAAACTTGTAAAAGCCCAAAACAAAGCAAAAAGTATAACCATCTTTTTTAACATTGCAGAATCAGATTGTGTAGCAGCATCACGAACATTTGTTTGAAGTAATGATCGTGCATAAAGTCATTTAATACATCAACTAAAAAAAGATTTTTATTAATATGTTTTACGGTTTTTTAGAATTAAATGACAGAAGGGGATTCTAGGTAATTCTCGGTAAGAAAAATCCAAAATCTTCAAAGCTTTCAGACTATAATTTTTCTAAATTTAAATTATCAAAAATCTCCTTCACCTAAAATCACCCCCTAAAATCATTTTTAATATATTCAAGGTATTCATTATTATTTTTCAACAAAAGAAACCTCTCAAATATTTTTTAAAATTATTATTCTAATAGGGCTTCTTCCCTTTTATTAAATTTTTATCTCCTTTTTTTCTTCAAAAAATTTCTCAATTTTTGTGCCATTCTTATAAAATATATTTTCTTTTTAATTTTACAAAACTAAATCCATTTTTACCTCTTTTAAAAAAGCCAAACACATTTTCGCGCGTCATTCTCCTTTACATTTTCCATTTTTGTCTTTCCAGTAAATGAATCAATCCGCCCCTCGCCGTCCATTTCCTCAGCCAGGATTACAACAACGTCGACGTCAATTGAATAATCACCAACATCATTATTTTGGCCGAAGATTTCGTCGTATTAGACCTACAAGGCAAAATACTTTTTCAAATAATAATTCAAATAATTCACATTCGATGGGAGAATTAGATAAATATGTTATGCACAATTTGCTTGTTAAAATTCATCCATTCAGGTAATTATTTTGTTGTTGTTCCTTAAAAAATTAAAATTAAATTTTTATTAAGAAAAGTAATTTGGACTTTATGTGCTCTTTCAATTTTACTTGGAATTTTAATTGTTCTAAATTCAATTTGGAGTCTTATACCAGAAAATAGAGCTGCAAATCGAATTGGGTAAGCAAAAATATTTTTTAAAAATTCTTTAAAAAACATTTTAAGAAATGATACTCCATTCCTAATTTTTTCCGAAGCTTTGGCCTCAGCTTTGTTAATACTCAGTGTGCTTGGAATTAAAATTGTAAGAGAAAAAATATTTAGGAAAAACATAATTTTTAATTTTTAAAGACTTTTATGGCCAACAAAGCTGTAAGGTCTGAAAGCCCATTTTCACAAAGAATTAATCTTCGAGATAACGAATTACCATCAGTTGAATTGGCTTTAGCCCAATTTGATTCACAAAGGAGACCCTATTCTGCACCAAATTGGTTTAATTCTTCTGATTGGCAAGACTTTTTTGCTGCTCCCGGAATGGTACAACAACAAGAATATGGAGGAAGAAATTTACCTCCTTTTGATCCATTTTTATTTCCTCCAGCACCTCCACGTTATTCTTCTTTAGAAGCTCCAAATCAAGCAATAATGGTTAGTGGACGTCCAAGATTAGCAATTGCTGTTTCTAGAAGGCCAAGTTTACCACCAGTTGGCCAATCTAATCAAACAAGCAGTTTTGTGCGTTCACCTCCACCGCCTTATGTTCCAACAGCAGCTTAGAACTGAAAAATGATTAAAAATTCTAAAAATTTCTAATAAAATTTTCAAACCTCTCAATTATAATAAACAATTTTTAATTCTTTTTGAATTTCTTCAATCTTTTTTGCTTCACAATTTTTTAATTTAAAAGTAAATAATTGAAAAACATCAGAAAATGATTCTTCTTTAAATCCGAGTTTATTAAATAAATAAATACTTGATTTGTTGTTTAAAGAAATTTTTGCAATAAAATTAGAAGCAGAATTAATTCTTTTTAAAATATAATTGATAAGTAATAAACAAGCCTCTTTTGCAATTCCTTTATTTCTATATTTTTGTTCAGCAATCATTACAGAAATTTCAAATGTTGTTGGCTCTTCTTCTTCGTTTTGTTGACAAATAAATGCATTGACATCACCAGCCATAGAACCAATCTAATTTTTAAAAAGGATTTAAAATTTAATTTAAAAATAAAAAACCTCGTCGCCACCACCAGTCGCCTCAAATGTTTGTTTATCCAATATAATAAAGGTTAACTTGTCAGAATCTTCTTGCCACTTTTTTTGCATTTCATATTCTTCCACAAGAGTTAAAGGTTCTGAAGATGTTGCAATTAATAATTCTCCATTTTCCATCCAAGCATGGTATTTTTGGACGTGTTTAGAACAATATGGAACGAGAATACAAAATTGTCCAATTATTGATTCGTGCTCGTTTATTTTCATCTAAATATCTATAAAATACAGGTATTGATTTAGAAAGATATAAAAAATGTTAGAAACATGAATAGAAAAAATTTAAAAAATTCATCGATTTTTTATTCACAAAAATCAGAATATATTAATCTACTAAATGATCACAATAATTAAACGATTATGACATAAAAGAAAAAAATGTTAAAATGAACAAAATTATGCGACATATGTAACAATAAAAGTTGAGGCAACAAACAAAAAATTGAAAAAAGACGTGGTTTTTGAATATAATATCAACTAAAAGTATTCTAAAAAAATCTCAAAAACCGGGTAAATAATATAGAAATTCACAACTTAAAAATTAATATAAGCCCATAATTAGCGAAAAAACAAAGATGTATGGGCCTTACTTTTTAAAATAATTATACAAATAAATTATTAACAATAACGACTAAAAATAAAATTAAAAAACCTCTAAACATTCGATTTTCTAACAACAAGAACTTTGTAGGAACGAGGATAAATCACAAAAAGGGAAAGTTGCACTGAAGCGATGATTGTTCCAATTGAATTTGGCACCTTAAAATATTTATTTTGTGGCTTAAAAAATAAAATTAAAAAAAATAATTTAAAAGGAAAAATAAAGCAATCAAGGTGTCGAACCTCCAAGATAAAGAGGTAAAACCCGGAAGGCTACCCACTTAACCACCGGCCCTTTTATCAAAACAAGAATAAATCTAATTATACACAAAAAGAACAACTATAATAAATCCAAGCCTACCTTCATGTAAAGATCATCAACCAAAAAGCCATAAAGTAACCACTGAAGACAAACCTAAATTTAAAAAAAATATGAAAAGATAGAAAAGAATAATCAAAAAAATTTACAGTCATATTTGCCAAGCATAACATAAAAGGTAAAGATTCTGTGCTTTTTGATCTAATTATTTGTCCAATATCAGCAAGTGGAGAAGCGATTGTTGCTTAAAAATTATCTCGTTTAAAAAATTATAAAAAAAGACAAACCAATGTTCAAAAGCATACAAATTATACCAAGAATATTTTCTTTTAAATTAAGACTAAAAGATTGATGTTTAATTAAAATTGTAGTTAAAATAGCAATGAAGAATTCAATGAGGATTAAATGTCTTAGCCTATTCTAAATTATTTTTTAATTTAAGAAACTCATTTTTAAAATAAAACCTTTAGTCGTGTCTTCATATAATAATAAGCTAGATAAACTGTTTGAAAAACCAAACCAATTCCATTCACAAAAATAATTGTTTGGTCTTTTTTAAGAATTCCATATCCTAGCCAACAAATACAACTGACTGAAGTTAAAAAGAAGGGAGCAACGCCTGTTCCTTCTGTTGAACTTAAAAAATGAAAAGATAAAATAAAATTTAATTTAAAAAATAAACCCTCTTCTGTGTATTCTTGTACAAATCTGAATTCCACACAAAAACATTCCAATAGTTGAAGCTGTAGCGGTGAAGGAAAGAAATTCGATAAAGTTGACATAATCCATATTTATGTACGTCCTTTATAAATCATTTAAAAATACAAAAAATCTTAGAAAATAAATTTAAAAAATTAAGAAATACCTCACAAAAAATTTTTCAAGAATAAAAAATGAGACATTTCATCCCATCAACAAAAAACAAAACGCCAATTCTATTTTATTTTAAAAATAAAATTAAGAATGGTTAACTAAAGTCCAACGTAGCCATCCGATAAAATTCAAAAAGCAGAACAAAAAAATTTAAATATTTACCAAGATTTAATAAACTCTTCTTCATGTTCATAACTTTATAAATTAAAAAAATACAAATTTATTCAGCTAAAAATATATAAATAATTTTAAAGTTGTGAAAAAAATTAAATTTAAAAGAAAATATAAGTCTAACAATAAAATTACAGAATAAAGGATACAATTAATATTTTTAAAAAACTAAAAATTATCTATATTAATTTTATGGATTAAATTTTTCTGGGTAAATAAACTACACAAATCAAACAAAAATTTTAAAATAAAATACTAATTAAAAAAGGGACGGGGAAGTCTCTCTAAAAATATGAGCATTTTTTCTATAAATTATTTTTAAGTTTAGGCGGGGTATCTCTTTTAAGTGTGGTTAAATTTTAAAAAAATTTAAAAATTATATAACGGTCTTAATTTAATTTCTGGAGGTGCCAATTCATAATTATTTTCAACAATTTTTTCCATTTCATCTTTTTGTTGAGGTCCATCAGCACCTATTGTCCAAATTAATGAACACCAATTAGCACTTCTACTACGCAAAACAGCTTTACTAACAACTTTCAATGCATTTAGTAGGTTGGCAGTTTCTTAAAAATAAGGGAAAAAATTTTCAAAAAAAATTATTTGAAAGAAAACCTCTTTTCTCGTCATAATGTCCTCCTCCTCCACCTCCTCTCAATTGTTGTAAAATTGCAGTTCTTTCATTAAGCCTCGTTTGTTGTAAAATTTTTATTGAATCCAAAAATTCTCTATGGATTTTATGAATATTTTCATTTATTAAATCTTCTTTTAATTGTTCCATTTTTTCTAACAAAGTTACCATTCTTGCATGTTCTCGAAAAAAATCAACAATTAAACGATCAACACGAGACTTTAAGAAATAAAATTTTTTCATTGAATTTTTTAAAAAATTTAAGTTTTTACTGGTGCTGGAGGCAATCTTGGAATTGGTAAATTATTTGCAGAACTAATTCTTTTCCCCAAATTATGTCGAGCTAATTCTGCTTCAGTTTTTTTCCTTTCTTTTTCTAATTGTTTATATTGTTCTGAACATTCTTCTAAACAAACATTTAATTCATTAAATTGATTTTGTTGTTGTTTTAAAATTAAAGGCGTTTGTTGTTGTTGGGGGGAATTGTTTATCTTAAAAAATTTTTTTAACTTTTCATAATCAAAATTTAAAGAAAAAAAACCTGTTGAACTCCTCCATTAGTAGAATTAATTATCCCAATCATTTGTGAATAAACATGTTCATAAATATGTTGTTGTAATTCCAAATGTTTATGATATAAACGAAGTTCATTTTCATCACAACTATTACTTTTTGAACGGGAAGAAATCAAAGGAATTGTTGTTTTATTTTCTTCTTTTTTTGTTGAAATTGGGGAAGAATTAATAGAATTAACAAAATGTTGTTGTTCTTTTTGTTGTTTTTGTTGGGGTGTTTGACTAACAAAAGAATTAGCATTGAATAAAGGAGCAGGTTGTAAATTATTATTTTCTTCAGTATAAGGTCGTTGCCCAATGATTGGACGGAAACGTGTTGGAATTGGACGCTAAACAAAATTTTTTAATTAAAAAAGGTTAAAAATTCAAAAAACCTTAATTTCATCCCCATTCTGAAATTGTAGTTTTTGTTGTTCAAAATTGTTCATTAAAGGCCAAGATCCAAATCCTTTCAAATTTTGATTATCAAAATATTGTTGTTGTTGCTGTTTTTGTTGATAAACAAATTCTTTTTTGTCTTCCAATTGTTCTGACCAAAGCGATTTTTGCTTTTGTTGTTGATGAAATGGACGAAAAGCAGAAAGAGGTTGTGGGGGAAGTGTTGCTGATTTTGTTGTTGCCAAAGATTGGTCAAAAGAAGAAGAATTATTTTCCCAATAATTATTATTATATCCTTCCAAATCATTTGTTTGTTTTTGAAAATAAAAATTGTTGTTGTCGTTAGCAGAAAGTGAAGAAGTAAAAGAATTATTACATGAAGAGCCTCCCTCAAAACTTGTATTACTATTAGAACGCTGTTGTTGTTGATCAATTATATTTTCGGCAACAAACTTTTCTGGACTTTTGTAGGTAGCGGGAGTAAAGGAATTCTAAAAAAAATATTTTAAAAAATTTATTTAACAAATTAAAAAATATATTTTTCTTCCAAAACTTTTTTAAATTAATTCTCAATTTTGGCGGTCATTAATTTATCAATTTATTTATTTTTTTAAAAATGTCTCAAGGACACTTCCTTGGCTAAAAAATTCTTTTAATCAACAATTTTTTACCTCATTTTTTCCTTGTTGATCAGAAACCAGAATTGTCGTTCCTTCTATTTTGTTGTTAATATTATCTCCATTATTTTGTACCCAATCCCAAATATTCCTCCAAGATTGTTTTCCTTCTTTTTCTTCAAAACAATTTTGTTGTTGTTGTTGTTCAGGCATTGACCAACACGAATATAAACGACTTTGAGCCAATTTTTGGGAAGATTTATTTGGTTGTGTTGATGAATTTAAAAGGGTAGAAAAATGTGGAGGAGAAGAGGAAATCTATTTAAAAAAACAATTAAAATCCAAAAAAATATTAAAAAATACCTTTAATTCAGAAAATCCATCAAAAGACGAAGATAAAGAATCAAAATCATTATTAAAATTTTTGGTTTTGTTGTTTTCAAGATCGGTGGAAGTATTGCCCCATATTTCTGCCAGTCTATCAGAAGTAAAAAGGCCACAATTATTTGTTGCTTGTCGACACTCCGCAGTCATTTAAATAATTTTAAGAATTTTTAAATAAGCTATAAAATAATTTAAATGTTTAGTTGTTGCGCGAAATAGAGAAATGAGTTTTTTTTAATTTAAAATGTAAAAATAAATAAATTACAAAGACTTTAAATATAAAAAATCTTTCTTAAAAAATCCTTCCCATTCTACAAAGTCCAGTCAGACTAAAAAAAAGAAAATTTTGTTTGTAGCTGGCACCAAATATATATACAAATGACCCCACGCGGAGCGAAAAAAGAGTTCAAAGAATGTTTTTCTTGTGGAAGTAAAAAAATTCTCACACACAAACATTCCCTCCTCCCTCCTTTTTTTCTTCTCCGTTCGCCTCATTTTTTTAATGTTTTGAGGGGAAATGTCTATTCAAGAAGGAAAACACAAAAAAAATAAAAAAAGGCAGGCACAGACCAGCACGGGGTAGCGTGCGGGTGTTGCGACCAGACACGAAAAGGATGTACCCAGCCAGCGTTAAAAATAAGAGAAAGAAAAAAGGGAAAAAATAAATAAAAAGAAAAAAAGTACGGGAAAATGTTTTTGCAAATAAATGAAGCAAAATATTGAGGGTCAAAACAAAAAAAAATTGGCAAGAACGGCTGGAAATAATAAAAATATATTTGTTTTTGTTTTTCAACAAAATTAGTTGTTTTTGTCTATACATTTTGAAAATAAATAGAAAAAGAAAATACAAAATATCAAATGTCAAAATGGTAAATAATACAAAAATTTTACAGAATATCTAATTTAGAAAATCACTAAAATGAACAAATAATTTAAAAATGTCAACAAGTCTTAGTCATTAAAAAAAGTTGAAAAATTATTTGCAGTCGCTCGTTTAAAAATAAAACATTTTAGCTTCCATTTTATAAGCTAATAGGCTCTAAAAAGGAATTTTCTTAATTCTCATTAATAAATACACGTTTAAAAAATGGCACGATAAAAAGGAAAAACTGAAAGAAAATAAATAAAAATATAAAAAAGCTGGGGCTTGGAAAAAAGAATGAAAGCAAACTCTAAACAATCAAAACACACTTTTCCTCTTTGAATGCTTTTTTAGAGCCAAATGTGAAAGAGAGAGAAAGTAAAAGTGAAAAAAAAAAGAAAAAAACGTTTGGAAATGAACATTTTTCTTTGAACTTTTATTTATTTTTTTAGACAGTTAAATTAAAAAAAATAAAATAAAAATGCTTTTAATATTAAAAAATTGGAGGAAGCACAAAATCACACAAAATAAATTAATAAATGAGTAAAAGAAAAGAATAACCCCTTTAAACTTGGTCATTTGCTACCACCCGTTTTTGTCTGTTATGGGCGTGTCCAATTTTCTCCTTTTTTTACTGAATAAACACAGAAAATGTAGTATATAGACCACACCGGTGTCCACCTCCCATTCCTCCTCCTTTCATTTTTCTCCTTCCTCGTCCTATAAATATGCGCTTCCTCCTCCTGGTACGCGCTGTCACTCGTTGAAACATTTAAAAAAAGAAATTTATAAAAAGAGGAAAATGCGACAGAGCGGGAAAAGTGATTGTTGAATTTTTGGTTAAAAAATGGGGGGAAGAGGAAGAAGAAGAAAGTAAAGGGTGTTTGGTAGTGGAAGGGCGCGATGACGGAAGAAGAAAAACAGTAGCGACGACTGATGGGCATTTAATTTAAAAAAGATGACCTCCCAAATATTTTTATAAAGCTGTTTTGATGGACAAATCAATTTTTCGTAAATATTTTTGTATAAAAATAAATTTAAAAAAAATTGGCGCGAAAATTAAAGCACTGGTAACTTTTTGACTGAACAATCATTCAGGAATTTCAGCGGTTTAACCCACTTAACCAAAAAGGCTTTGTGCTTAATCTTAATTCTTTAGGCTTATATAGAATAAATAGAAGACAATTAAAAAATAATTTTTTATTTGTTCAACTACAATTAATAAATTTAACAAAAAAAAGGTTAAAAATTAAAAGGTTTATTTGGCATAGAGAAAGGAAATGGAAAAAAATTATTAGAGTAAAAATTTTTTTTTGATTATTAGCATAACTATTTAAAAGCTAAATACATAAATAATTTAAAATTTGAAAAAAATAAAACGGAAGAGGTTTTTTAAATGAAAAAAAAATTACAAAAAATAGTTGTAATGATGACTTTAAAATTGAATGATGATGATTATTTGCCTATACTAAAAGGGAAAAATTTTTCAAAAAAAAAAGTTAAAACACACAAAATAAAAATCCAAAATATCAACTATTCAAAAAATATTTGTGGCAGTTAAAGGGAGAAATTAACTGCTAAAAATAATTCTAAAAATAAATACAAAAACGTCACTTTCCAACAGAGACTGTTGAAAAAATGGCTTTTTAATATTTACTCTCTGATTCAGAGAGAGAAAATATTAATCTTCCGAGATTTAACTTTTTTTTAATTTTTTCCTTTTTAAATTTAGGTAAATAGTCAGTCATTAAAAGGAATAAAAGGAGAGAAGATATGAAGGAATATAAAAGAAAATCTACATCTTTAAAATTAAAAGGAATAGTTTTTTAAAGAGGGAAGAAGTTCACTTGTACTTTAAAAAAAAGATTGTTGATTTTCTTTACAATAATTTTAAAATTAAATAAAAATAAAACCCGTTACTATATACATACAATTGTGTAAAAAATATTAAAAAATGCCTCTCTAAATTTGTATAAGTGGTTGTGGCAAATATTCTGATTGATTTAAACAAATACAATTTAACCATTGATGTCTTTGAACTTCATCTTTAAAAAAGATAAAATTAAAAAAAATTTCTTTAATTAAAAAAAAACCTTTAAAAGCTACACAATAACCAGGTAATTTCCCTAAACATTTGGCCGCTCTTTTTTCTGTAGAAACAAAAAAAGTTAAAGCAAAAGGAAATGGGCATTTTCTTTCTATTTCTGCACCAATAAACCAAATCATTTCATCAACTTTCCATTCATTTAATTTTTTTGAATAAAGGCAAACACGTGTTCCTTCTTCTATTCGAAGCGATGAAGATTTGAATGATTTTGAATTTGGCTCAGAAATTTTTAAATCATCAGCAAATGCACGGCCACTCTACATGGAAAACAGTTTTTTATTTTAAAAGAAAATTTAATGAAAAAACCTGCGGTTGAAAAGGATTCGAATCATTTTTAAGCAACAAATAATTATCTTGAAATTCTTCCCATTCTAGCCATCTACCCAATACAATTGATTTAATCGATTCATTGGCACCAATTCGCCTTTCTAACTGTCCTTTTCTTATCATTTCAAACAGTGCATAATTATTATTTGAATTTGAAGATGATGATGATCCTTCTGTTGTTGTTAATTTATTTATTTTAAAAGCAACTACTTGACTTGCTGTCCATTCCGATTGAATATTGAAACATTTATTGTCTTTTTCAAATAAATGGATAGGTATAAGTAAACCTGTAAGTTAAAATAAATCATTTAAAAATAGTTTTTGGTTTAATAAACACGAAAGAATAACCCCAGCAAAGAATGCAACAAATCCAACAAAAAGTCATTTTGGTGTAGTGGGATAACTTTTTTGATTTATAATACAATGGAGGGAGGTTCGAATCCCACATAAGGAAAATAATTAATTTTTAATTTAACAATTTTTCCAATGTATAAACACGTGTTTACCTGCAGCTGGATGCTTAAAAAATATTTTTTATTAAAGAAAAACAGTTAAAAAACCTTTGTAGATTTTTGTTCCTGCATTAAATCAAGTTTGCATTTTGTTAATAATTCATCTACACTTACACCAAAAATTTCACAATAATGAAAAATTAAATCGCGCATTACAATTGTTTGTTTAGTTGCCCAAGTATACGAATCAACAGAAATTTCTTCATTTGACTTAAAAAAAATTTTTTTTCTAAAAAATTAAAAATATTCTCTTTCTTACACTAGCAACAGTAAACAAAGTTGGTCCAAACATTTTTGAAATATTATCTAAAGATGCCAAATTTCTATTTTCATGAGATATAATTTCTTGTAAATGTCCCAATAATTTTCGAAGTGTTTTGAAATAAATTTGTGGAAGTGAAAAAATTAATTGACGATAAAATTGAGGTTTTTTAGAAGATTCTAAAGTTGCTTTAATAAAAGGAAAAAAAATAAATTTTTTTTAAAATTAAAAAAAACTTACAAATTTCATAAAGTTTTGTATGTAGGTTTTGTGGAATTAAAGGTTTATTTAATTGACGAAAAAATGTCCGTAAAACACTAGCAACAACAAAAACAGTTTCATCACATGTTGGTGGTTTTAAATGGACAGCATGAGGATCTATTTTTTAAAAATTACTTAATAAAATTGTAAAATAAAGAAAAAAACCTTCTCTAAAAGATGCAATTATTTTCTTTAATTCTGCTGTTGAACCATTTTTTCTATAAATTCCTTGTTGGTATAATCCATACGTAGAGATATAACGAATACATTTATCAACTTAAGAAAAATCAAAAAAATTTCTTAAAAATTAAAAAAATTTCAAACCAATAATAGGAACATCATCTAAAGTTAATCGACAATCTTCCAAGTTATTAGGTTCTTTTTTTAATTCTGATGTTAGAATATCAAACCAAATTGTTGTGCAATAATCATTGTAGGATTGAAGATAAAGAGAACTTTATAGAAAAAAAATATTTTCTAATTTAAAAAATTTAAAAATGAACCTTCCTTCAAGAGAAATTAAAATAGGTCCTAGTGTTGAATGTTCAATTTTATTACACCAATCAGAAATGTGTATATCCTTTCTTTGAATAAAAATAATTTTTCTAAAAATCATCGAAATTTAGCGACAAAATTTCAAAAAAACCTAATATCAACTTGAGTCAAAACATTTGGCCCAATAACCCAATAATGCAAAGTTCTTTCAGTTATAAATGCCCAACCATCATTCCAAAGACCACTAATTCCTTGTTTAATATATAATTTGCCACAACAGTCTAACAATGAAAGTGAATCGCCAAGAAGATCATTTCGAGGGGAAGAAGACTTGAAATAAATTTTTTTAGAAATTAAAAATATTCGATAAAAAATTTTGGGCGATAAAAAGATTTCCGAAAATTAGGTCCGAAAAAATCCTCAACAAAATTTTTTTCAATAAAACCAAACCTTTGCCAAAAGTGGAAGCCAATATTTCCCATTATTTTCTTCTGATATAAAACGTAAAGTAATAAATGTATTAAAATCATCTTTTAATGGCTTGTTATTCTTTTTGTTTGAATTATTATTGAAAATTAGACAAATCTCCTCAGAATTATTATTTCCAATAATCTTTCCCAAATAAATACATTTTCCAATATCAAAAGGTCCAAAAAAAGGAGAGGGACTCTTTAAAAATTTTGAAGTAAAATATTTTAAATTAAAAACCTCTTCATTTAAGCTAATTGTAAATAAATCATTTCGAATTACTGCCCATCCTCTTTTTTTATGTTTAATAATTCCTTGTGGCAAAACTTGAACCCATCCAGAAAAACACACAGCTTCTCCATCAGATTTAGCACTTCCAAATGAATCATATAAAGAATTACAAATAAAAGTTGATTTTAATGATGAATTGGGTGGGAAATCTGTGGGAAGGAATGAAAAAATATTTTTTTAGAAAAATTAAAAAAATTATTCAAAATATTTTCACAAAATCGCCCAACCCGAAAAATATTCAAAAATAAAATAAAAATATAATTTAAAAAATAACCTAGATTACTTTGTTGACTTTCAGACGATAAATCACTACAGTTTGAAGCAATGTCCAAATGTTTATTATTATTTAAAATATCCAAAATTGGATATATTTTATTAAAACCATTAGAATGTTCTATTGTTGTTGTTGCCATTAAATTATTTTTTTCTTCTTCCAATAAATTTGGCTGTTGTAAATTATTTGTTGTTATTGGTAATGGTGGAAATATTGTTCTTCTTGGAGGTAATGGAGGTGGTGACGAATGTTGTTGGTATTGTTGACATTTTATATTATTAAATGTTGAAGTTGTTGGAAGACAAGAATTATTAGTTAAAGCATTATTCATCAAAAACTTTCTTGGTTTTGGAATTGGTTTATATGACTGATTCTTTTCTGGTTGATCATTTATTAAATCCATAACCATAAAAAATCTAAAAATCTGAAAAATAGTTTAAAGTTAACGTCCATAGGAGACCAAAAACGATGTAAAATTTTGAGTCAAATAATAAAAAAAACATCCCCGTACTTCCTTTTTCGGCTCTGACAGATTATAAGCCTTTGTAAAATGATAAAAACCCCGATAAAATGATAAGGTGTGGTCCACTAAACTAAAAAAGAAAATTTAAAATTAAAGGTAGTAATACATATGTAAACTAAATTTTTAAAAATAGCATTCTTTTAAAAGAACTAAAAAATTTATTTATTTTTATGCTGCCAAAAATAAATTAAAAAGGATTTTTCTTATTTACGAACATATTAGAGGTAAATAAAGAGGTATGTGTGACAGCTAGTGTTGTGTTTAAAAGAAATGTTTTATATTACTACGTGAAAAAAAAGAGTTGAGAGAGTGAATCATCAGTGTTGAAAATGGTTTAAAAAAAGCTATAAAAATATAAAAGAATTAATGTCTCTTTATATAACATATAAAAACTTTGAAAAGATTTAGAAAAAAATTTTTTTTGCAAAAATTAATCGAGAATAAATAACAAGAATTAACAGAAAAAATCCAAAAATAATTCAAAAATAGATTTTAAAAATTAATCAAATTCAGTAACAACCTTTTCTCTAAATTTATTTAATATATCATCTTGTTTATTTTCAATATTTTTTGTAGATAAAAGAGAAATTCCCAATTGATGTTCTTTTGTAAATGGTTGCGCCATTAATGGAAACCATCTTTTTGCAGCCATAATTGCTTCTTCAATACTGAGATTTGTTTGAGCATCTGTTATATGTTCTTGTATCCATTTTGGTAATTTTAAACGTTTATCAGCTCGGCAATAACGCTAAAAGAAAAATTTGAACTAAAAAATAACAAAAATTAGCCTCTCACTTTATCAGCAAAAACAAGTAAACCATAATCTGTTTTTCCTCGAATTGCTCTTCCAACACATTGGGCAGCATGTCGCATTGCATCAAATGTTAAAAAATCATTTTCTCTTTAATAAAATAAAAGAAAAATTAAAAATAATAATTTAAAAAATTATAAACTTTATTCCAAATTGATCACGTAAATATTCTAATCTTGCTCTCAATATTCTACTTTCTGTGTACATATAAGGAATTCCAAGCATTACAACAGCTCTTCCTATAAAAATAAATAATAATTTATAAAACAAAATTTAAAAGAACCTAAATGATGTGAAAAATCAATTCCTTCCGATACTTTTCCTCTTGCTACAGAAAACAAAATTGCTCCACGTCCACATTCACAAGCTTCTACATATTTTTCTAAAGCTATAGAAGTTTCAAGAGCATCAGTAGTTTCAATAAAAAGTAATTTTAATTTAATTAATTCATCAATCATTCTTTGTTCATACCAAGCAGATACTACATTTTCCATATAAACATAACTTGTAAAAAATACAACAATTCCATCTGGAACAATTGCTGCTAATTCTAATATTAAACTGGAGAAAAAAATTGGAAAGAATATTTAATAAAAAAATTAAAAACTAACTTTCCATAATTTCTAACAACCGACAAATCTTCTCTAGTTTCAAAACGTGAAGTAATTTCAACTTGGTCATTTCCTTAAAATTTTAATTTTTATACAAAAAATTATTTAAAAAACCTTTAGAAACAATCATAGGAGAAATACATTGTCTAGCAAGAGTCATAGAAAGACTTGCTTTAATAATAGGATCAAAATCGAGAATTTTTGGATACATTTCCATCGGAGAAAGAGTCTAAAATGTTTATAAAAACTTTAAAATAGAAATTCAAAAAATACCCCTGAAGTAATAACAACTGTTTGAAACCGTTCAAGTACAGGTCTAATGGCTATAGAAGCATCCATACAATTTAAATGTATTGCTGAATCATTTGTTTTGCTTTCTTTTGGTTCAAAAACTAATGAAAATCCAATTGAATAAGTACTAACAATTGTTGAAAATGTTGCCAATTTAACAAGAGGGCTAAAATCAGAAATATCTGCAATTTCTAAAGTTTTTGATAATGAAGCTAGACGTTCAGCACAAAACCTTTTTTTGTTAAAAATACTATTTTAAAAAAATAAAAAAAGAAAACCTCATTGGTTTCCTATCAACAAAAACTCTCGATTTTATATCACGAAGAAAAGCTGCTGGACTTTCAATTTGAACTGTTTTTACTCTCATTCGATGTTTAATATATTCTAATATACGACGCATAAACTTAAAAAAATTTAAAAAATTATTTCAAAAATTAATAAAGAAAAAAACCATTATAAAATGTTCAGCAGTTCTAACTGTTCCAGGAATTGCTTCATCAAGTATTTCATTTGGAAGTACAGGATTTGCCCAAACTCTTTCATCCTCTTCTCTTTCTTTTTGAACTTTACGAAGTCCCTCAACTAATTTTTCATATTCATCCTGTATCCTTTCTTCATTTTCTTTTTTTAATGTGTGAATATGCTCTTCTAATTTATCTATATTTTTTGAACATTTTTCCATCATTTTTTTAGTCTATAAACAAAATATTTTAATTTTTAAAAAATTCAAACCAAAGTAACACTCATTGATTCAATACAAACATTATCTATATTATGAGCTTCATCAAAAACAACACACGATTTTGGATTTAATTTGCGAGAAACCAAATCAGCAATTTTTGGATCGAGTAAATAATAATAAGAATAAACAATAATGTTGGCTCTCTCAATTAAATGAAGGCAAGTAAAATAAGGACAAATACCATTTTGACGTCCCCATTCTCTTAGATCAGGCTAAATGTAAATTTATTGAAAGTTTAATAAAATAAAATTTAAAAACTAACCAAATTGAAGACTCCATTTGGCAATGTTAAATCCCTTTTTTCATCAAATTTTTCAAAAAAAGAACAGCAAGGCAAATCAGGATTTAAAACACGCTTTGCTCTAACATAACTAGCAGTTAATCGTTGACAAGCACCATCAACAGCCGTTCCATTTCTTAGACTAACAACATCCTTATTTATACAGAGATTTTTGCGGGCAGAAAGCGTTAAAGCAAGAAAATTTGGTTGAGCCTGTGTTTTAAAATTAAAAAATTTATTTTTTCTTAATATTAAAAATTCTTACGCCTGTAACTTTTTTGTAATAAAGAAACAGCCTTTTTAATTCTTCCACACATTTTTCAATTTCAGGGATTGTACGAGAACAATAAATCAATTTATGTAAACGATCCTTAATTTAAAAATGAAATTTATTTTATTTTAAAAATTCTTACTGGATATCTACACATATAAGCAACAACTAAAGCCAATAAAGAAACGGTTTTTCCTGTTCCAGAAGGCATTTCTAAAAGACAATGACCCTAAAAGAAAAAATTTTCTGCTTAAAAATAAAAAATAAAATTTACAGGTGCATCCAAAGCTTTTTTCAATTGTTCCATATAAAGGACTTGTTCCGGATAAACATATTCATAGGGGAATAAAATGTTGAGACCATCAATATTCAATCTTAAAAAATAATAAATTTAAAAATAAATCATTAAAATTACTTCATTTTGTAATAAACACCGATTGATTAAAGTTAATACAGAAATAAATCTAAAGGTCAAAAAATTTTTAAATAAAAAATTAGCAAAATTTATATCATGGTAATAATATCCAAAAAGTAATATTATACACACAAAAACAAAATAATTTTATTCCTATTTATATAGCTGCAAACAATAATATCTAAGCCTTCAAATATTTATCAAACTTTTGAGCTTTAGCCAAATCTGGATCTTTTTGTTGAGTAAATTCTTCATTTTCGATACTTCTTACCCATTCATAGCCAAATCCAGGAGTTGGAATTTTAGGATTAAATCCATAATTTTGTTTTGGGCCAACATTTTTGCCAGGAACATCGTCACTAAAAAATTATATAAAATTAATATTTAAAAATAAACAAACGAAATTGATCCATCCGCCTCAGGTTGACCAGCAATTTTCTTAGGATCCACTTCTAAAATAGATCGAGGAGGCATAACAGCCCTACGAGCATCCTGATATAAAATTTTAGAATTATTTAAAATAAATAAAACTAACCCTAGAGAGATAATAATTATCAGCTATTTTCCGAACAATTCCTTCCTCTGTAGAAGCAGGTTCAACACTTCGAGAAGATTGGGTATTTGGAAATCGAGTATGTGGTTGATAATGAGCCTAAATAAAAAAAGAATATTCGAAAATTGATACTCATAAAATTACCTCTCCATCTTCAGTGGGCAAACCAGGAGGTGGAGTTATGGGCAGACGTTTAACACCAAGAAAATAATCACGAATCCAAGCAAAAAATGGAGTTGACTCTTGATTTTTAATATTTGAAGAAGCAATTTTCGGAAGTTTACTAGCCATATGAATGAAGATTTAGAAGTCTAAATATCTAAAAACAAAAGAACATACAGAATTTCGAAAATACAAGACAAAAACTAGAGTACTAAATGCTAGACTCAAAAAGTCCTTTGGAAAAATTTGAAATGGTAACTTTATTTTCGAGGGCAGGGGACGATTCAGTATCGCCGATTCAGTATCGCCAATTCAGTATCGCCGATTCAGTATTGGCCGATTCAGTATTTGGGCTTTTTGGCCATAACTTTTTGCTCGATCAATATTGTAGGAATTATTAAATACGATTTGATAGGCCTCGGAGTGCTGCATCTTTTTGTTAATTGGACTGACCTGATCTGATCACTCTACAAAAAGTTATCACTGATAAACGACGACACAGGCATAAAAAATCGGTTTTCACGCTGTAACTTTTTTTGTGATCATCAGATCTGATCGGGCCAATTATGAAAAAGATGTCGAATCACGAGACCTTTCGAATGATATGAGAATTATTCAAATCGGTCGAATATCAGGAAAGTTATGGCCATTTACTGAATCGGCGGATACTGAATCGGCGATACTGAATCGGCTATACTGAATCGGCGATACTGAATCGTCCTTAACCGTATTTTCGAAATGGTAACTTTCAAAATATCTATTTCACTTTACTCATTTTTTGTATTTTCCTTCACGAATCCCAAAAGTCTTGAGTCTTTATAATTAGGCTTTATCTAATCTTAAAACTAAGCTTAAAATTTAGGTTATTCAAAAACAAAAGAAATGAGCAGCAAATTATTTTTATACTCACAAAGAATTCCTTTATATTTGGGCAACAAAAGTATTTGTTTATGCAGTTCAAATCAAAAAGGACATTCTCATTGGGACAACATTGCAAAAACAAAAACAACAAAAGACCAAGAGAAAGCCAAAAGGATTAATACTTATTCAAAGAGGATTTTTAATGCTGTTAAAGAAGGTTGTGATCCAAATCTTAATAAGAAATTGGCTAAAGTAATGGAGGTAATGAATTTATTTGTTATTTTAAAATTTAATTTTTTAATCGTTTTTAAAGGAATATAAAAAAGAAAGTCTCCCGATGGAAACATTTAACAAACTTTTGGACAGGCACAAGGTTTCTGCTAATATTTTTTTCTAATTCTTTTTTATTTTTTAAAGGCTGAAGCTGAGGCAAAAAAACAAAAAGGAGAGTGAGCCATAGCATTATGGGTAAAATAATAAAATAATTTGTTTAAAAAATATTTTGGATTTGTTATCTATTTAATTTTAATTATTATTTAATTATAAAATTAGCAACAAAAAATATAAAAAAAAAATTTTTAAACATCTTCAGTTTGTTGTCGTCTTAATAAATTCCAAGTACTCCTCTTCCGGTTACCTAAAAATTAATATATAGTTTAACCAAAATTATTTCAAAGAATAATTTTACAAACCAATAAGCATTGGTGCTTGATTTTTATGAATAACTTGAATGATTGCTGGCGGTTGAGTCCACGGTTCTCCATCGATTTGCATTGGTAAAGTTTTATGAGTTTGTATAACTACTGTTGAACATTGTGCCAATCTTCTTGCTTGCCTTACACCCGCTTTTATTTGTCCCATTTGAATGGCTGATTCAAGGCCAACAACCTAACAAAATTGAAATTTTGATAGCAACCCCCGACTGAGTCTTAAAACCCCCATAAAATTAAAAAAAAGAACCTCAATTAATTTATCCCCAATGTCCTGTACTCTATGCTGTAATTGACTATTTGCAATTTGTGGAAATAAGTAAGGTATATGCCAGGATGTTGAACTTTTTCTGCTATTTCCCCAAAGATTGCTGCCTCCATATCTTTAATAAAAAATTTAAAATAAATTTTCAAAAAAATTTTTTCGAACATGCTTGCAATATTTAGTAAAGCAATTCCTTCCAAATTAGGTCCGACACCCAAATCAATAGTTTCTCCATCACACTGAAAAAAATTAAATAAATTTTTCAATCGTGCTGAAAAAATTATATAAATGAACGCCAAATTGCTTTAGCGTCTAAAAACAATTTCAAAAAAATTTCCCTAAAATTTACCAAAATATCAATTTGTTCATGTAAATTTTTACAACTGCTACTTAATGTTTCGCTTGTACCCAATTCAAAATACCACAATTTATTTCTCATTCTAGAATTAAATTTTTCTGGATACTTTTCCCTCATTACATGGAAACGATGCGCAATTGAAGCATCAACACCAATCGAAAAATAATTCTAAAATTAAAAAATAATTTTAATAAAAAAACCTTCCCTTACATTAATTATATGATAAGGTTGTGGATCTCCTTTGTCAAAACGTCTAGTTTGTTCAATTGTTATTTGCCATCTATCCATTAAAACCTTTAAACTACTCGTATTTTCTTTCATTTTAATTAAAAATAACCTGATTTGCTTTCTCTATTTGATGTAAAATTTTCTGTAAGGGTTCATTTTCATAGCCTCCTCCCCATTTTAGACATCTTGCCAAATCATTACCAGTGCCTAATGGAAGTACAGCAACTGGTGGACGATTATCTCCATATTCCATTTTATCTTGAATTTTTTTTTTGAATTTTTAAAAAATCAGAAAAATTACCCATTGATTCTAACACCCACCCAACAGTTCCATCTCCACCACAAACTAGCACATTATAATTATTTAATGACTTGAATAAATTCAATCCAGGTTCTGGTCCATCTTTGATTAAATTATAAACCTGAAGAAAAAAATTACTTAAAAAGTTAAATAACAAAAAATACTTGCCTGTCTAGGATTCAGTAAATATTGAAGTCTAAAAATAAAATTAAAAAATATTTAAATAAATTTTAATAAAAAACATACTTTCTAAAAATACGTTCGCCTTGTCTTCCTCCACTTTTTGGATTAATTAAAACTAAGAGAGGTCGAGAACGGCTATTTGGTGATAATGGAATTGTTTTTAACTGAAAAAATGATAAAATTATAATAAGATTAGATAGGAAAAAGATAAAAATGTGATCATCTTGGATGCCATAACAAAGATATTTTTTATCCAGCCCCTTGAAGGATTATTAATTATTATTTATCCCTATGATGTCCCTTTAACCCAAAAGGTTTTCATTAGCTTTGGGAAATTTTCATATACCGATATTGATAAAAAAAAAGTAAAATTAACCTGAAGAGGACCTCCACTTGCACCATTATTGTTTATTGTTGCTGTATTTTGACTTTGCTGTTGTTGCTGTGAAGTTGAAGGTAATATTGTTGTTATTGTAGAAACGGTAGCTGAGGTATTATTAGTTGTAGCAGAAGTTGTTGATCTATCCAAAAATGTTGGAATAATATTTACAGGGGGAAGAATGCTAGCAGCAAGTTGTCCAAAATCACAAGCTGTTGGCCAAAGTGAAATACATTTTGAATGAAGCTTGAAAATAAAAATATCAAAATACAAACCCAGCTACCCAAAAAAAACAAACCAAATTTTTGCACCAACGACAATGCCGTCCTTGAAATATTCCTACATTTGCCTTACATTTTGAACACTTTCCAGCACTTTAAAAAATATTTAAAAAAATAAATTTAATTGAAAAAAAACCAATTAGAATCCATCCAATGATGTTGTTGAATTGGTTGTTCTCTCATAGAAGAAGCATTAGAATTGTATGTATGAATACAATTATTAGATGCTGAATGAACACAACGTTCGTGTACAGTGTATTTACAAAGAGAACAAGCTAATCCTTGTTTACCTCCCCAACCAACTAACATATTCAAACAAACATTGCAATATGTTGCTAAATATTTAAAAAAATTTTATTTTAAATTTAACAAAGTTAATCCTAATAAAATCTTAACAGTAATCTCCCCTTCTTTACTAACCCCTCAATTCCTTCCCTTTCACCTCCAAATTCCTACCACCCCATTCATATTCTCCTTCTACCATTTCCTTACTCTCCTAACCCAGCTTTCTCGTTTTATTTGTCTTTATCCACAAGGAAAAAGAATGTTTCTTTTAATAATCTTCTATCTCCCAATCATTCTAAAAGTTCAAAAAATACTCACGTTTGCTAAAATGTCGAAGTCGCCAAATATGAAATCCGTCTTCTTTAATTTCCTATAAATTAGAATTTAATTAAGAATAATTCATAAAAATAAATTTAAAATTAAACCGTGTCAAATCCAAGCAAAACAAGTAAAGGAATAGTAGTTAATCCCCCACGTTTCCACTCTTCTAACGAAACAATTCCATCATTGTCATAATCAATTTCTTGCATCATTTGACGAAGAATCTAAAAATAATAAACTTCAGAAAAATTTTTTTTTAAATTTAATAACCGGTTCTAATTCAATTGTATCCCATTGTTGATATCTTGCAACATTCATCATCTGTAAAATTTTAATTTAAAAAAAATTATTTTTAGTAACCTGTTCAATAATTGATTCAACTTCTTTATGGTCAAGATAGCCATTACCTGAAAATAAAAAAATTTTCAAAATTAAAAAAAATTTTTGTGGACCCCTCCCCTCACAATAACCGCCCAATACTTCAAATAAAATAATTCAAAAAATTTCTCTCTCCTTACCATCATTATCGTAGACATGAAAAACAAATTCTAATTTATCTTCAGGAGGTGCTCCTTCCAACAAACTCAAATAACACACTAAAGGTTTTAAAGGTATTCTTCTTTCTTCTAAATCTGGAACTGGGGACAAACTCTTAAAAATTAAAAAAAAATTCAAAAAAAATTTTAAAATTAAACTTGTTGTTGTTGTTGAAGTATTTGTTGTTGTTGTTCTTTATTTAAATCAATAATTCCATTAAAAAGTCCAGAAACCGATTGTTTTGATAAATTTTTAATTGAAGATTCTTTTCGATTATTTTCTTTTTTTAATAAATTTGTAGATTCTTTTCTAAAAATATTTTTAACTCCTTTTACAGTTTCTTCAATTATTGAACTTCTTCTTTGAGGTAATTCTTGTGTTGATGGACAAAAAGACAAAAATAATTGTTGGATTAAATCTGCTGGTAATTCTGCTCCAAAATAACAATTTATGAAGGAATTGAAACCCTTAAACAAAGAATATTTTTAAAAAAAATATTTTTAGAAAATTTTTAAAAACCTCAAAATCAATAGTTTGCAAATCTGGCGATAAATATCGATAAAACATTCCTTAAAAATACAAAATTAAAAATATTTTTAAAAAATTAGATTTACCTTCCGGGTGAGAAAATTCAGTCAACATATCAAGTAGTTTGTGGCTTGAATCTAGTAAAAGAAAAAATTTTTTATAAAATATTTTTCTAAAAAAATAAACTTACAACTAGCATATTCAATTAATCTGGCAAATTGTTCAGGTGAAAGAAGCATTTTTTAAATATTAATTAAATTATTTTTTTATTTTAAAGAATTTTCTTAAAAATTAAATTATAGCTGTAACAAATTCTAATAAGTAAAAAAAAATATTTAAAAAAAAGATTAGAAAAAAAGTAAAAACAGAGAAGAAGTCCCACAAATGGTGGCAAAATCTCTTTATAAATTTTATGACATTTAAGCCTTTTATTACGGCAAACTCGCGCGCTTATGTGTTAAATATATAATGGGTTTCACATCGATTAATTACTCCATTTTTAATAGAAAAAAATTTTGTTTTTGTAGACAAAAGTAAATCACAGGTATAATTGGCTAAACAATTAAAACAATTAAAAATTTTTTTTGAGATTTTATTTTAAAAAATAAAAGTAAAAATATACAAAAATATTTACAAAAATAACTTTTTTAAAATGTTTTTGGCCGTTTCTGCCCCATACAAAAACAAGCACGCATTGTTGGACCTTCAATACTTCCGCGACAGTAACATCCAATCATTTTCCGACCTCCATCTTTTGCACAAATTTCATTGCATTGCTGGACCAAACATTTGTCGAAAGCGCCGAATGAACTAAAAAAATTGAAGAAAACATTTTTAAAAATTCAAAAATTGTTGTGGATGGTCAGAGGTTCGAACCTCAACGAGGGAAAATAATTTTAAAAAATTTTTAAAAATAAAAAAAACCAACCACGGCAAAGTAAAATGTGGAGAACAGGTAGCACGGCAATGAGAACAATGCAAAATCCGAAATGATTCAAGAATTATTAAATAAAAGAATAATAAAGAATTGAATGAAGTATTAGGCATTTTTAGCTTAAATTTTAGTAAAAAATTAAAAGAAACTAAAAATAATAAAAATTTTAAATAATAAATGTTAATGAGGTGTGAATAACAACAAAAACAATCAAAAATAAGAAGGGAAAAATGAATTGTTTTAAATGCTGAAAAATGTAAAAATTGCTGTTAGCGATGTTTTTTCTTCCTTTTCTTTTATTAGAATTTTTATTGCCTTTTTACAAACAAAAGAGTATAACGTGAAACAATAAATACGCGCAGTAAACTCTTATTTTTTTGTTTAATAATTTTCAAAGCGTGGAACAACCAAGTTTTACGGAAAAATTCCTCCTAAAGAAACTTTATCCCTAAAATTAAGAAATTTAGCTCTATATAAAAGCAATGCTTGTTTTGTTCATTTTATCAACACAAAACTTCAATCTAACCAAACAACTCACACATATTTGCTTTGCTTCCAGCTTCCTTCAAAGGCTCGTCGTCATGAGGTTTCGTTCGGAAGTGTATGGTAAAGAAGATCAAGAAGATTCGAACCTTCGTCCGGCGATAATAAAGGTTAGGTTGATTAAATTTTTCTTTAAAATTTTCCATATTTTTTAAGCATGCCGTGGATTGCCCTAAAAGAAAGTCTCTGACCAAAGTGACAAATCATTCTTCCAAGTGCAACCTCTCGTCTTCGAAAAATCATCAGCAAAGGTTGATCTCAAAAGTCTCTCCAAACAATAGCAAATCATCGAAACCAACAAAATCAAAAACCAAAGAAAGAATTCATTTCTTTCCAGCACAAGAAGAATCATCTTCCCGCAGCAGTTGTATTCACGAAGAAGATTCACTTCGTAGAGTTACTGCTTACAACAGATGCACCAAAAAGGATCCACCGCGATTTGTGTTGTCTGATGATGAGGACGATGTTGTTGTTGATCAGAATGAGAATGATGATGTCACTCCGTTGGTTAGAAAATTTCTGAATTTTATCAAAACATTTTTAAAATTTTTTCAGCTCTATGAAAGAATCAAAGGGCCAAAACCAACGCCAAGAGTTGCAAAAACCACTTCCTCATCTACGTTGAAGCGTACATATTGGACACAACCTGGGCGAACGGAACAACTTTCGAAGCCAAAAGGACAACCTAAAAGCAACAGGAAGCGTCAAATGATTACTGGGATCAACAAAACTCCTCTCTCGTTCATTGCAAAGAAGGTAATTTTGTTTTTTACTGAAAGGAAGATTAATTAAGATTTTTATTTTTTAATAGATGAAGCGTTCGCCAACAGGTCCCTTCTACACAGATGGAGTGGAATATCGCCAACTTCAGGATAAAATGAAAGTGAAAAACGCAGAGACTTTGCCAAGCGACGACAACGAATCTTCCAAAACGTTGGATTACAGCAAAGAAGAGCTGATGGGGATATTTCCACCAAGGGAAGGAGGATTGAAAGTAAAAGTGGACAATAATATTCTTGAAGTGATTGGCAATTTCGTCGAGGTCAAGCTTGAAGGCAAAGTGCTGTGGAAGGCTTCTAATGAAGAAAGCAATAATTGAGGGAAGGACTTGATAATATAATAGGTTGTTGATATATTTCCTATATAATTCATTTCTTAAGCCCTAACTCATGTATGTATTATTAGGTATTAGGTAGTCTGTACAAATATTTTATTACTGTCTATGTACATATGTGTAATATTGTGTATTGTTGAATTGTAATAAAACGGATTTAAAAAAGACGTTGCCGAAGCCTTAAAAATCAATCTTTAACCTCCCCAAAGTCAACTTAATGCCATTAACTTCTTTTTTCTTAATTAACTCCAAATAATATAAAAAACAATCTTCTTCTCGGTAATCCTTCAAAAAATAATAAATAAATATTCATTTTTGTGTAAAAAATTGCCCTCACAACGAAGCGCCGATCGCTTATCTTTTTTTACTTGCTCTCCCCCTCCCTCTTTTTTATCCAATTCCTTGACATATCCCCCTTCAATAACGGAAAATAGCGCAACGTTATTGTAGTAAAGCCAATTAATTGCGCCTTTGTGATGGCTTTTATATACACATTAAAAAACAAAGAAAAAAATATTGTAGTAAATAAACAGTAAAAAAGAGATGGCCGAAGGTCGTTCGTCCTGATAGGAAGAACAACGTAAAAGTAACCCAAAACATCAATTAATTATAGAAACACAGAGCTTCCTTCCCAAAAAAATGAAGAAGCAAATAAGGAAATGTCAAAGAATTGTAAAAAATTGGGGAGGTAAAATATAAAAGTAATTGGCGCGGAACCGAAATTATTGCGTATTTACTTTTCGTTAATTTATTAATTAAAGCGGTGTCCACACTTTGTAATTTAGGTAACGAAAATGGAAGGATAAACATTTGATAATAAGAAATATCCTAAATAATTACGAACTTTTCCGGAAATATATTATATTCAAAGTTGTCCGGAAATATCTGGATGTTTTTAAGTTTCTGGAAACTTAACAGGAAATAATTTAGTTTAATCATAAGTTTTCCGGAAATAATAATATTATATTCTAAGTTGTCCGGAAATATTGTGATTTAATTTCTAGGTTTTCCGGAAGTGCTGGTAACTTTTCCGGAAATATTGTGATTTAATTTCTAGGTTTTCCGGAAGTGCTGGTAACTTTTCCGGAAATATTTGAGTTTAATCTTAAGTTTTCCGGAAGTGCTGGTAACTTTTCCGGAAGTATTCGAAAATTTTCCGGAAATATTTAAGTTCTTTCCCAGCTTGTTGATAATTAAGTCCGGTCATCATTATCAATCTTAAATCCTACTATAACATGTATGGAATTTTAATTAGCCTAGAGACAGGAAGTTCTCCATTTTTAGTATTTACTAATTCTCCCAAAAGTTTTTTTTCCTGTTAATAATTAAAAGTTTGCTCATTATTTTCGCCCCAAAGCAACAGGAAGAGTATTAAAAAGTTCTAAAAAGTGGTTCAAAAAATGAATGAATTGAGGTAAAAATTGGGAAAACAAATAAGAAAAATGGGGAAATCTTCCATAAGGGGAAAACGAAAAAATAATAGGATTGTTAAAATTATTTTTATTTGCTACAGGCCGGAAGCATAAGAGGTTTTTTTTGCTTCAGTCTAGCCCTACAAGTTATACAATAACGGTGAAAAAAGTTTGTTTGTTGTTGTTCTACCATCGTGCCAGGGGCTAATTTAGAGAGAGGAAAAGTTATACTTAATTCACTAAAAGTGTCAAGAATCTAAGCGTGTGAAATTGATGCTAGACAAAATTTGGACTAATAAAAAATATTTTTTTTTCAAAAATATCTAAAAATTATCCAGTATTGTTCTGGATATTATAAATATTAAAAAACAAAATCACGAACCAGAAAAATAATAAGAATCGATTGTATCATCTCATCCTGGAATGGTTGACATCTTATTAACATTAGTTAATTGACCCGGATTCCCTCCAAGTATTGGTAATTGTAAAGCATTTAATGGCAGTTGTTGCTACAAAATAAATTTTTTTAAGTCTATAAAATTAAAAAAACCTGAGAAGTTGGGGTTGAAGTTGTTGATATTTTTGCCTTTTTCGCTGGTGCACTTCCATCATCATCTTGAAGACTTCTTTTATTATTAATTTGTGGTGATGTCCAAGATTTTGATGTCGAAGAAGGCAAAGGAAAGGAAATTGGAGAAAATTGAGAAGAAAGAGGAATTCCACCACCGACACCAGCACCAGATATTCCCATAAGTCCAAGCATTTGATTTGCCATTGCTCGAACCTAAATATTATTTTTTTGAATTTTTAAACTTTTTTAATTTTAAAAATAACCTGTAGAGGATTCATTTGGGGTTGTTGTTGTTGGGGGTATGTCTGTCCAAAAATATTAAAAGGCGAAAATGAAGACAATTGTGGCGAGATTGGAGTGATTTGTTGTTGCTGTTGTTGTTTATTTTGTTGTGATGATTGATATTGCTGAAAAGCATTCATAAAATTCATATAGGCAGCAACAGAATTTTGTTGTTGTTGTTGTTGCGGAAGAGGATTTATTGAAGGAAATTGATAAGGCATTAAAAGTGGGGAATTAATAAAGGAAGGAACTTTAAAAAAATAAAATTATTAGAATTTAAAAAGAAATTAAATTTCTTACAATAAGTATTTCCAGCTGGAGGAAAAGAAGGTGATAAGGTTCGTTTACGAGAAGACCCCTCACGGAATCCTTTAGCAAAAGGGTTATGTTCAACCTGATAAAAAAGAGCAAATATTTTTTTAAGAACAAAAGAACAAACTTTAAGCTTTGTAACAGCTTCGCTTTGATAAGCAGTAACAGCAATAAATTGACATTGCGGTGGACGATACTCAGCAACCAAAACATTAGCAGTTGGAGTACCTTTAACAAGCCAAATAACTGGTTGATATTTGGACATTGATGACAAAGAAATCTTTTAATTAAAAAATTATTCAAAAAAATTAAAAAAAAAGTTACCATAGAATTTCCTCCTAGTTGACTTTCTTTGTTTGTTAATTTAGCTCTTTCAAAACTAATACGTCCTTGACTGGTCCAAAATTTGCCTGTACACAACCCTTCGTGGTGCTGTACCAAATTAGATTGTTGAATCCCATTTTCCCCGTCGTGCCCAGCAGCAGACCAACCTCCGGCTTGATATTTGTATCTAATCAAAATTAGAAAAATTTATTAAATTCATAGAATTACTAAAAAAAATTAAATACGATTGAAGAGCTATGGAAGAACATATAAAATGTCTTTTGGTAAGCCGGTAAGATTCGAATAAATTATGAAGGTTTCAGGAAAGATTCCGAAGGATTAAAACAACTTTCAAGTTTCCGGAACAATTACGGACAGGCCAAACTAAATTCAAAGTTTCCGGAAAAATTCTGGAAAAGCCTAAATAAATCCCAACTGTTTCCAGAAAGATTCAGTCTCGGGAAAGTTTCAAAATTAAACAAAAAACAGCAGTCTAGAAAATATTGCTTACCGCAAATTGTCAACTTTTTGCATATATAGGTAGAGAGCATACTGTGAATCTGGGTCCAAATTGTGAAGATGTAATTCCAATTTTGGAAACATTTTTCTAAAAAATTTAAAAAAACTTTCAAAAAATCAAAAAAAATTTAACAACCTTCCCGGCCTTGTCACAACCATTTCATTCTGAACTTTTGCAAATTTTTCCCATAATTGCGAATTTGCCAATTCAATTCTACATTCCTTTGTTGCAGTAAAGGCACTATTATAAGTTGTTGTTGTCGGTGTTGTTGTAGAATCTGGATCAGAAAATAATGGAGAGGATTGAAATGAATTTGTTGTTATTGAAGTTGAAGAGGAAGTTGTTAATTGAATATTTGAAGATAATGATGAGGATGAAGAATCGGAAGATGAAGAATTTGTTGAAAGAGGTAAGCTCATAGTAAAAATATTTAAAAATTATTTAAAAATTATCTAAAATTTAAGAAAAAAAATTTAATTCTTGGAAGGGGTAGGAGAATAACACGCAAATAATAACTACGTAAATTAAAAAACGCGTTTCCTGAGTTTGTTCTTGTTTCAAAAAATAATTATGAAAAAAACCACCTTAAAATAATAATGAAAGAAAAACTGGCAAAAAGGCGGAGAATTGTCGTTGACCACTATCACCCACACACGCATAAAAAAGACCACTGCCCAACCACTTAATTCCTTTCCACAAAAAGGACAAAAATAATGCTGCTCATCAACCACTACTCCTTCATTTTTTTACCTTTCTTAACCTACTTGACAGTATTTTATTTAAAGTGAGAGACAATTTATTAAGGTATTAAAAATCACAAAAATTAGCCTGAACTTTTTCTAATTTTTCTTTTCTCAAAGTAAAAAATGGAGTCAAAAAATTTGTGATTATAATCTTCTAGGTTTTTGGTGGTCTGATTCTGATATTGTAAAAAATGCGCACAAAAATATTTTAACATAAAAAACATTTTTGTAAGATGAGTTTATGAGTGTGTGAGAAAAAGCCTTTAGACAATAATATGGACACTTTCTGATCAACTTGCTTTGAGGGAGTAATCGAGGATTATAACCAAAAAATGTAAGGGAGGAAAAGGAAATGGAGGAATATTTTTTGACAGATGAAAATGTCGAGAACCTTTCTAAAAAATATTTTTAATACTTTCCCAGCTTAAATTTAGTCACATTCTAGACAGTTACTCTAAACATTTTAGTTATCAACACAAAAAATATGCCAGGCAAAATTCCTCTTCCAAAAAAAATTCCGGGCTGCTTACGAAACGAAATCGGGCTGATCAGGAACACAAAGACCTAGATCTAACAAATTCCTTCAAACAGAAATTTTTAACAAAAATAAGTCGCTAGAAAAATTTCACAAACCTCAACAATAACAGAAGTTTTTATTTTTTTCACTTACGATCCTTGCTCCTCTGCTGGCATTTTTTACTCATCTCGCATTGTCGGCAGCCTTTAGCCAATTCTAAGGATTGCACAATAGCTCCTATTTTCTCGATTTTTTTTTTGCTTTAAAACAAGAAAGCTAAATGGCGGTTTTTATCATAAAAGAAATTTGGGGGGTATTCTATTTTTCCTATTAAGCTTACAAAACAAAATTACTACAAACTTAGAATCTTCAGATTTTAAATTTCGAGTAAAGAAAAGTTTGGACAAAGAACCGCTTGATTTTTTTAAAACAAATTTTAATTACATACATTTATCAATGCAATTCATACATTACAATAATACAATTGTAGCGAAATAAGGCTAAACTACAATTTTTCGGGACAATATATACACAATTTATTATATCTAATTCACACAATATACCCATATATTCTTAGCAACTTCTTTAGCAATCATTCTCCTCTCCAATGTCCTCCAATTCATGCTGAGGCTCATTCCTAGATACCGAACCCTGACGAACATTTTTCTTCTTCGTTGAAGACATTTTCTCTTTAGGCTTCTTTTGTTGGGGCTTTGGAGGTTTTGGAGGAGTGTCCACAGCAGCAACAATTTTCTTCTTTGGAGGCAACAGTTCATTCAGAATACCAGGAACAACGCCACCTTGAACAATAGTGACGTGCTCAGAAATATCTTTGAGCTCATTATCTTCTTTGATAGCCAAGAAGAGATGACGAGGAGTAATTTGGAAACGCTAAAAAGATGGAAAATAAAATTTCGAAAATTAAAAATCCCTAACAACCTTATCCCTTTTTGCAATGTTTCCAGCACCATCAATGATCTCAGATACCAGATATTCGAGAACTAAAAAAGAAAAATAGTTAACTTTACAAAAACTTTACTAACCAGCAGCAAGAAAGACAGGAGCACCACGGCTCAATCTCTTTGCATAGTTACGCTCCCGAAGCATTCGACGAATTCGCGCAACTGGAAACTTGAGACCAGCCTTGGCAGATTGCGAAACCTACAAAAATTATGAAATTAAGATCCCCTCCGAGTTAGAAAAAACATACCGCATTAGCTCGAACTTTCTTTGAAGCAGGAGGCATAATGAGAAAGAAAACAGTTGCACCAAGAAAGAAGAGGTTTTGTTTGCGATGGAACGAGACTGAATTAAACGAATTGTTGACAAGTTTTCTAAAAAAGTTGCTTTTATAGTCGTTATATAATATAAAATCCAGAGCCCAATTAAATTTAAAAACTAATATCGGCCGGCCGAAGGCCGGCCGCTTCCCCGAAGCCTGACATCCTGGGGGCAACTTTTTACGGGGCATCCAGGAAAAATATAGCCAAAATTTTCCGGGGGTCGCTTGAGTCTCAAACGGCATCGGGTCATTTCCTATCTCGAAAAAGTCCAATAGAAAGGGGGGAAGGTCTTGCTGGAAGGCACGCATCCCACAATTAGTAGATCATAATGGAAAAAATTCGGGTCAAAAAAGTTAAGTCCCGGGGTAGAAAACCCCGTGAGACTGAAATGTCCGGCCTGTACTCAAATGGTTTTTTGAGTGTAACTTTTTTTTGGAGAGGTGTATTTGGATGGGACCTGGGGGGTATTATAGAGTAATTTAATGCGCGTTTTGTGATGTTTGTTATGTGGGGGTCACTTCAGTCCGGAGGTGGGATATTTGAGTCTGAGGGGGGAAAATGGTTATACTGAAAAAGTCTTGCTGTGGAATGACTTTGGGTGTGTTGAGTTATTTGTAGGGGAGAGTATTAGGGACATTTAAGTTGGTGGACGTTTGAGGCTGAGATCAAGTCCTGGGGAGATATGAGTAAAATAGTCGGTGCGACTCGAGTCGATTTTCGGAAAAGTGTCGTTTCACCCGTTTTCGGCCAAAAAAATATTTTTTAAAAAATTGGTACAAATGGGGCAAATGATATATCAATCGAAAGCCCTTATTGCCCCGAGTCTAAAAATATTTTTTCCGAAATTTTCTGACCATTTTGGCCAAAGTTACAAAAGGTCGAAATTTTGGGTGTTGTGGTACTCATATACTCATATCACCCCCAAAAGTTCATCCCAGACTCAAATGACCAACTACTTATAAGTTCCCCACATGCTGCCCTACAACATCACTCCCAGGCACGAAATCCCCCGGCCCTTCAAAAAACCGTTATAGGGCGTTGAAATTTTGAAAAGGCCATTTCGGTGCCACACTTGAGTGTGGCACCAAAATGACCATGCCCGTTGAATTTCCCATGGCCTATTACCTATTATCCCAATAATTTTTTGCCCCGTTTGGCCTTTTTTCGATTTTGACCATTTTTCCATGTACCCTTTTGTCGGAAAAAAGGCTGAAGCTTTTATTTTTTTAATTTTTTATTTTTTTTTTATTTTTTTAAAAATACCTTAAAATTAAAATTTAATTTAATGGGGAACCCCTGGGTCTTTTGAACTGAGATTAGTTATATTAGGTAATCGGCCTCGGGGAATCCATTGGGCATGGTCATTTTGGTGCCGCACTTGAGTGTGGCACTGAAACGTCCTACTTCGGGAACTTCTCGGCCTTTTGGCTTAAACTTGGGGATATAGGTAATCGACCTTGGGGAATTCAGATAGCATGGTCGTTTTGGTGCCACGCTTCAGTGTGGCACTGAAACGGTCGTTTTTTCCCAAAATACCCCAAAATTAATTTTGAATTAAATTTTTATATTTTTTTTGATTTTTAGCTAAAAAATTAAAATATTTTAATTCAAAAAATTATTCAATACAACTTCAACATAATTTTTATTTTTTCAAAAATTAAAATTTTTTGACAACAACAACAAATTTGAATTATTTTTATTTTTTTCCAACAACAACAAATTTGAATTATTTTTATTTTTTTCCAACAACAACATCCAAATTTTTCAACTATTCAACTCAACACCCTCAAATCTCTACAAACAAACTATTTTGGTTTGTTTTAATTTATAAATTTTTTTCAAAAAAAAAACAATTTTTTATTTTTCAGGTGTTCTACACCAACTATGGATGGAAAATTTGGAATTTTCCATTGTGGAAAAATTTTTTGGAGGAAAAAAATCCGACGGACGTGGGTAAGCGGTTTGTAAGACCACTGTGCGGAGGGGTCATGCCGGTTTTTTCCTAGAAATGGGCGGAGCCGGCATGATCGGGGATTGGGTCATGCCCGTTTCCCCTTTTGGGGGTATGGGAAGGCTCCCCCTTCCTTCTGCACAGTGGGAGAGTACAACCACTGTGCGGAGGGGTCATGCCGGTTTTTTCCCAGAAATGGGCGGAGCCGGCATGATCGGGGATTGGGTCATGCCCGTTTCCCCTTTTGGGGGTATGGGAAGGCTCCCCCTTCCTTCTGCACAGTGGGAGAGTACAACCACTGGATGGACGGGTCATGCCGGTTTTTTCCCAGAAATGGGCGGAGCCGGCATGATCGGGGATTGGGACATGCCTGTTTCCCCTTTTGGGGTGATGGGAAGTCTCCCCCTTTCGTCTAGACAGTGGGATAGAACGACCTGTGTGCAGAGGGGTCATGCCGGTTTTCTCTCAGAAATGGGCGGAGCCGGCATGATTTGGGGATTGGGACATGCCCATTTCCCATTCTGGGGGTATGGGAAGTCTCCCCCTTCCTTCTGTACTGTGGGTATAGCTCACTCCGCCGTGCGGAGGGGTCATGCCGGTTTTTCCCAGCAAATGGGGAAATCGGCGTGATCGGGGATTGGGACATGCCCGTTTCCCCTTTTGGGGGTATGGGAAGTCTCCCCCTTCCCTCTTCACAAAAAGGGGCCTATCCATGACCTCGTCTGCACTATAAATACAGCGAGGCATGGAAGTGTCCTCTTAAAACCCCGTCCTGTGGAAAAACCTGTATACATTAGGTTTCGGGTCCTAGCCACAAGAAGGCCCACAGGATGGGGTGAAATAAACGTGGGGCACCAATACTTGGGGGAAAAGAACCCCGGGTATTGATGCTTCACTGTGCGGAGGGGTCATGCCCAAATTTTTCAAAAAATTGAATGCCAACGGTTTTGGGTAACCCATAAAAACCCTAATTACCTCATTTAAAAAAAAATAATTTTTTTCATCAATATTTGGTTTTTTAAACCTTATATTTTGGTTTTGGGTTATCCATTAAAACCCAATTTGAATCCTTTTGAATGCTTACGGTTTTGGGTGACCCATTAAAACCCTAATTCCCTCATTTTAAAAATTTATTTTTTCATCAATATTTGGTTTTTAACCTTATATTTTGGTTTTGGGTCATCCATTAAAACTCTAATTGATTTTTTGAATGTTATGGTTTTGGGTAAGTAGCCTTAGGCAGAAGCCAGTGAGGGCGATCCATTAAAACCCTAAGTCGCATTACTCTGAGTCACTTCTCAGGTTATTGCGCACGGGCATTGCAAACTTGCAGCCCTCAAATTGCTGGATATGGCTCATTTCGTGGACCGAGGTAGGACGGGAAAGGCTGCAAGCCAAGTACCATCACCGCCCGGAGCGTCCCAGTGCTTTTGAGGGCACCAAAGGTCGGCTCAAGACTGTTTCCCCTATATGGGGGTATGGTGTATTGTCCCTTTGGGCAAAGTTTGCCAGACCCCTGGGCCACCTTCCCAGGACTGTAGCTCGTCCATATAGTGGGGGTCATGGATAGTTTATCCCACTGCGTTAGCATGGTTACTCGGTGCGTGAACTTAACACTCACGACCACATCATGCGGCGGAAGTGGTACGCAAAGATAGTCACGTTATGCGGCGTGATGGCTATCCTAACGGCTCTGTTCGAGCGGAGTACGCTTTTGCCTACTACGCCTAGCAACGGCTAAGGACCGCACTGCTGGGTTAAACTCGAATAACCGTAAATGGCCCGTGATAAATCCGAGGGCTGAACGATGTGTCAGACGACCGTTTCGGCTTTTGCTGATACACCCATTTTGGGGAGGAAGTCTCACTCCCGTTCAGTTTCCGGTCCCTAAGCTCTGCAGAGCCACTATATGTAGCCTACTGGTGGCTTCTGCCATTGGTTTGGCTGGACCTGGATTAGGAGGGGCACCCGTATGGATTCTCCGCTTCTAATCTAGGGGCCTAACACAGGTCTGTGCGGACGGGTCATGCCCAAATTTTTTTTGGGTCTGCCCTTACAAGCAGCTTGTGGGGGTCCTGATGAAAAGAAGTGGCCCATGCGGCTTTCCGCTCCTTATTCAGGGGCCAAAAACAACGTAGGATAGACGGGTGCTGCCAAAATTTTTTTTGAAAGCCCCCTATAACTGCCTGTTTTTGACCCTGAGCCAGGTACTAGCCGGCAAACTATATTTTGGTTCTGTGCTGGGGTGACCGGACGGTCAACGCTTAACCCCTGAGGGGGATGTTTTTAGCGCGGCAATTTGGAAACAGCAATTACCGAGATGTAGGGAGTGATCAATGTGTGGAAGCGGTTTGGTTGTGGGGTCTTTTTCATATCGCCATGTCTAATTATAAATTCATGGTACTCTATTTAGGTAGAGGTTGGATCTGATACCCACATAAAGGACTCCACCGGTTTTCCAAATTCAGATAAAATATGGTACACAAGGATCTCATTATCCTCCGTAAACGTCCACGTCGTGTGTGCCGTCAACTCTGGACTTTATGTCTGGGGGCCAACTCTGGCTTGTCTGGAGGCGCGGTTAAAAATGAGCTGCAATTAGATTAAAAATTCATTGCAGAAAATTTATTTAAAATTTTAAAACATTGTAATTATTAAAGCTTCGCCTGTACTACGCTAATGAATTTGAGTCGCTGTTGTTAAATATGAAGAATTGAAAACTGTGTCGCTGTTATTTGTAAATATATGAATTGGCTGTTGCTTGAGTCGCTGTTGTTTGTAAATATATGAATTGAAATCTGAGTCGCTGTTATTTGTAAATATATATGAATTGAAATGAGTCGCTGTTGTTTATAAATATATGAATTGAAATCTGAGTCGCTGTTGTTTGTACGCTAAATAAATTTGAGTCGCTGTTGTCAAAAATTATATGAATTTAAAAATAAAATTGATTTTAAATTGAGTCGCTGTTTTCTACTAATCTATTAAATATTAATAAAAATTGTCTACAAATTAGAGTCGCTGTTGTTTGTGAATATATAAATTGAAGAAGATTTTCTACGGTTATGCTCACGAATCATGTTTTACACGATTTTGCTGTACACGATTTTGAT